ATAAATGACATTTGTTGTTATTTAACATAAATAATAATACCGCAATTACTACATATTATTTATTGTTTACAAACATATTATTTGTCACTGTTGTTTACAAACTACTACTATTTGTTGTTATTTACACAAGTAATAATAATATTAAAAATATACATGTGTCAGTAAAAAGATTTTGAAAGAATTACTACATAACTCTGTTATGCAGATGAATAAAATAAGTCACGATAAAAGCCACTTTTAGATAATATGCCCGAGAGAATGGGTCTTAACGACTCCACTGAAATGCAAATTATCACCCTTAGTTCATTCGATATTACGAGAAAATCCTATCGAATGGGAGCGTGATCGGATCGCAAGAACAACGAGAAATGTTAGCACTCAAAGTCCATTAGATTTCGTTCCGCAATGAACGGACCTGTCACGGGAATAGCCGCTACTTAAGACTGCTTACAATACGTCAAACACAATTATATTCGCACGACAGTGTCTCGTTTATTAATGAACATTCATCAGAGCAGCGTATTTTGTACGGCTGATCCCGCAAGATTTGAAATTGATTTACGGTCCATATAAGTGAATCCATTTATTACGAAAACGACCATACGAGGAATTCCAATTGCATTCTCGGTAGATCTGCTTACTACGATCTGCGAACTATTATCTTAGACCAGCATTTTTAATAAGAAATAAATAAATCACAATTATAAATAAATTTAACACAATTACACTGCTCAATTTATTATTTATTATTTGTTATCTATTATTAAAATGTAATTATTATTAAAACAACTTATTAAACTGTAATTATACTCAATATGATCTATTAGTTATTGTATTATTTACACTATCTATATTATTATTAAAACATTTAATAATTTGTGTTTTGTTGTTTGTGATAAAATTATATATTATTACTAAATTATTATTATTAATATATAAAAGTAAATATTTTACACTTTGTTATTATTTTGTAAACTGTATGATAACTTTGTGTATTATTAGTTTGAAAAGAGAATTCTTATACAGTGTTAATTTTATTTATGAAGACGAAATATAGACACAAACAGTTAAATAATACATTGACCAAGTATTATTCCAATGAGGCAGCCTGATATTCGGCGCCAAGAATGTAATTATACGAAAAGGAGAGGAGGGAAGGAGACGTCTGCGAGACGTATCTGCCCTGGCGGCGTTATCCGCTTTTGAATATGCAAACGCTACTACTCTGTGTGACGCCTAACACGCGAAGAACTTCCCCACGGTCGATTGCACCTTAGATACTGACAGCACCTTGCACCTGGATGTATGTTCTTGAACGTATATGCAACGTTGGCACGCGTTCCGCGATAATGCGGGATTTATTCGACGATAAAGCACCATGATCCGAGGAAGATACACAAGTATCTCAAAATCAAAACACTTGAAAAAAGTTATTATCTTTTTTGAAAATTTTGTTTTAAAGTTTTGCATATTTTTACGTATTGTTTTGACATTAAAATGTTTTTTTATTGTTCCGAATTTAAGTTTATTTATGATATATGATACATGTAAATGATTGAAATTTCAATTAAATTTATTACACACACAAATTTTGAGAACTACTAATGTATATGTATATGTACATGTATATATGTATATGTATATGTTAACTTCTTAACAAAGTTCTAATTTGGTGAAAATTTATGTTTGTACTTTACAACACAAGAACAACTAATTCTTCCTTACAACTTGAAAGCACGTAACGAAGAAATGTGTTCCACGTGAGAAATAGAACATTTGTTCTTTACCACCAGATACATCGTGGAATTAATCGTTCTTCTAACGTATCGCTGTTCTAACGTACTTGCGCGTGGAGATGGACAATTACTATTTAAATTAAAGAGCCTTGTTGAATATGTTTGAGTAATAATGTTCTAAAGAAAAACAGAGTATTCAAATATTCAAAATATAATCTGCGTACATTGACTTTTTGATCGACTTTAGGGCAGATGTTTTTGAACATAAAGAACGTATTAAGAAATGCACCGGTTAGTTTTGTATTTAGTTTTTAAAAATAAAAAACTGTAACATATTCAAAAGACACACTTTAAAATTAACATAATTAATTTTGACGGATTTAGAACGCTGTATACTTACTAGAATAAAATCGGAATACTTTTCGGGAGTGGTGTATGTGGTGAGGTAGTACTTGCGTGAGAGAAGGGGCGGGATTGTAAAAGCGCTCGTAATCGTTTCGTCTGTATCAGGCCACACGCGATCCGCGGATTAAAATTAACAACCGCTCGGCGTATATTGATTGCACGCTCACCTTGACACCAAGCATCAGGTTCATTCCTCCGTCGACGACGACGCTAGCCGCACGCAAAGGTTCCGAAGTAGAGAGAGAGAGAGAGAGAAAGAAAGACAGAGAAAACTCTCGGCTTCCTTTTCCGGACATTGTGAACCGCCCCCGCATAAATATCGAAATTACACCATCGTCCATCGAAGAATCGGATTGTTGTTTCAGCATTTAACACGACTTGGTCAGAAGCACTTTGCTGGAATTAAATCGAAAGTGAGAACCGATCCAGATTCGTGTGGCGATGGAATCTATCTTATCGTTTAATTAACTATTTTAAACTCGAAAAATCTTAGATATGTGGATTAAAAATTATATGGTAAAAGTTAATGTTAAAGAAAATATTAAAAAAACACGCACAAAAACATATTGAAAGAAAGATCCATTTTTAAAATGTAATTTTGTATGAGTGATTTTATGTGAGAGAATATGATTTATTTTAACAAAGAGATTTTAGTTACTGTATTATCTCTTGATACTTCTTGATACGATCAACACTTAGGGGAGCAATGTCATCATTTCGCGAGGGCGACGAAGTGTCCCAAGTTGCTCCTTCACGATCGAGTCTACAAAGACACTATCATTGAATGTATGGACTATCGACAAATGTCGATTCCAGTCGAAATTGGAAACGTTCGTTGAATAAAGAAAAGTCTGTTCAAGTACAAAAAGAGAGAGTAGAAACCGATCCAGAAACAGTAATTGTACTGTCGAGTTTCTCGCATGAATTGACAAAATTATCTTTTATGACTATCTATGTTTCTTGCACTTTGAAACATTTATATACAAACAACTTTTACAATCCAAAGATATCATCCTGTACGCTACAATGCAAAAGAGACATTAATTGAGAGAAATGAATTGTAATATCAATACAATTTTTTATTTTTCGATCTGATTGATGTTGTCACGTTTGCTTGTGACCATCTCTTGACTCCTTTTTGTTTTTTTTACAATTTCATAGCAGTGTCTTTTATTTTACAAATATTTAAGTGGCTTTTACAATAAAAGCGTTTTTACATCCTCTCTTACAATATATTTTTCTTTTTTTTTTATATCAATTTTATATCTATTTTTAAAGTAACAAAGTGTTCCTCTCTTTTCCTAAGATAAGTATATCATATCATCTCTTCCATCAACATTTTTGCAAGATGTATACGTTTCCAAGATTGAACTTCCATCGTTGTCGAAACAAACAAACGACTTCCATTACATTGTTATATTTTTCCGTATCTCGGATCCTTGCGTGGAAATTGCGGATAGCGCGGAAAAGTGTTTCTTATGTCGCGCGCGCGCTTATCGCTCTATATAATTTATAACGTATATGATAGAAAGAGCACGAGAGAAAAAGTCGGAGAATGTGACATAATTTATTTGTCGGACGTGGTGGCGGCGCGTCTCAGCCGTACTCAAAGCCGTAGAGAAGTCGCCGGACGATTGGCTTCGACATATATCGCTTCAGGAAGAGTACCTCGCACCAGACGGTCTTTAGATCGTCTTGTGGGCATATTTTATTCAACGAGACGCATTTTTGCGGCTGAACACGTCTCAGCCGTTCAGAAAACGTACAGGAGAATCTGCAATGCGCGCGTCCCGAAGTTCTCACCGTGAAAAAACTTGCGAGGAAGAATCCTCGCGATATTAGAAATAAAAGAAAATACTTCGGTTAGATCTTTTCTCTTTTTTTTTTTTTCTGGAAAATTGATTTTGCAATACTCGCACGAAAACTGTTGAAAGATTGTTGCTCGAATATGTAAATTTTGTCAAACATGCAAATTGTTTTTGCAGCCATGAAAAATACATCAAAGATATACTTATTCTGCGATATAATTTATTTCTCATTGCATAAACCATTGCGCAAAACCGAATTCAAAATAGAAATTTAATAAACGGTAGTTTTATTTAAACATTAGGCGTTGGTTTCACGGCACTATTGGATTTCCATTGAGCCACGGATTTTTGGCACAGCATATTTCTTGCTCCCGTTTCGTTCAGAATTTAAATGCCGCTTTGTCACGCATATGTGAGAAGCTTGTCTTATAAATTATTATATGCATAATAGAGCTAAGAGAATATTCTTGTAAATCGCGCGATTTTCTTCCAGACAAAGAAAGAATATTGCAAACGTCGTTTTTCTTTGAAAAGAAGCGAAGTATTATAAAGATATTCGATAAAATTGCATCAAAATAATAATCTATTAGAAGTCGTCGGCTTTACGTTTTATGTTTTTTTTTTATTTTATCGTTGATATATCATCTGCGCGTTTGCACCTGTCAATTTTTAACGCGGCAAAACGACGGCAAACAGCCGTGCGTGACGTTGTCACCGTGTAACTGCCACACGTGCTCGCGGAATCGTCAGCAAAATCGGTAAAATGGTCGGAGTTACTACATCACATATATACGACGTTAACTACCGCATACGAGTTTTCCCGAAATTCAGCTGCGCCAAAATTCCCACGCTCTTCGGCGAGCTATCGAGTTCGTTTTCGCGAAGGATTTACGAGCAGTGGTCCATTGTCCTTGGGGCGTGACAACTTTCGGGAACGATAGCTGGAATTGCCAGCCTAAGGCGCCATAGAAAAATCCTGTTGGAGAAAATTGCAGATGAAAAGACACGTCGATAAGAAACGAACGAACGTATCTCTTGCTTTCTGTCTTAGGTCTCTACTTTTCTCAATCGAATCTCACTCTAAGATTTCCGTACCTGGATCTACACAATCGAGAGGTCAAGCTAGTCAGTCTAAGAACCTTTCGAAATGACTCCATTCTACCGCAAAATGTGGAGTACCAACTTTTCCCGGAAAAAACGTTCGCGACTTATCAGAAAGAAACGGGAAATGTTGTATTACAGAGTCTTCCAAGAATGGGTAAGTGTTTTTTTTTTTTAATTTTATTTTTTTATTTTTAATATCAAAAGTTTATTTGAATATTACAATATTTTTGAGCAATAATGCGAATAGACACACGATATTTTCCTTTATCTATTGTTGGCGTTATTTTCTAAGGCGACGTCAATACTATCATTATCGAGGCAAGCGAGAAATATTCCGACAAAGCGGTTCTCGAGATAAATGTGCAGCCAATACCGTTAAAAGGGAAAAACATCATTTGTGCGGATTACACGCAGGTAAATTGTCGCTGCAAATTTTTCATTTTTTCTGAATATATACGAGCGATCCATTTAACTCGTTAATTATCGTTGTTTGTAAAATTTTTATATTATGTGTATAAATTCTATAGTAGTAAAAAATTACTATTGAAATAATAAAAAGAGATTGCGTAACTCATTTCACAATTAATATAACTCAATGATAAATATTTTAAAAAACTACGCAATAATTTGCTCGATTTTTGTACTTCGCGGTGTGAGAAGATAACGATCATTACTGAGTTAACATGACGAGGCATGTTTCACCGAAGGCGTTGGTCCACAAGGTTTCTAGTGTTGCAGGACATATGTTTCTGGAACACGTCGAAGTACAGGATTTACGAGAATCAACCAGTCACCATGATTGGCACGTTTGGCCCGGAGGCGTACAGCTCGGTGTGTCCTGAATTTCGCATCAAATATGAATTATTAAATGGCAAGTATCATCAGTGACAACATAATCCTTTTAATGCCAGTGTAATTCTTTCTTGAACACCTATATAATTCAAAAATAATGTTTTTTTTTTTTTTATGCAATTGACGTCTATCTTTAAAAGATGATTTTTTTTATTCAGGATTTTTCAAAAACATTTCTAAAATGCACTTCTGTGTAAAATTAATTTAGTAAAAAGTTTAGATAATTCTTTATTTTGAGATTTTTGTCTTTGTTAATGTAAGTCTCGAACAAATCATTTCGGAATTCATATCGGCAGTATCGGCAATCTTCGTCGAATCGTCGGGTACATATCTGCAAAAGATAAATCCCTCGTCAAGAGCCGACCGGATTTTTCACTAACAAAGCCGGCGATACCGTGATTGATTGGAATCATTCAACGTGAAATGCGAATAAATCTTGCTACAGCACGCTAAAAGCTGCCATTGAATCTGCGCGCACACCAACCGTCGTCATTAAAATTCGCTGAAGACATCGTTACCGTTAGTGACATAATACGTAGCACCGGAAACGTCCAGCCTTTTGTGTATGACGTATCATATATCAAATCTCCGAATTCTAATGACGATTTAAATTTTAGTTTTCCGCCGCTGAATACAATAGAAATTGCAAACGGGAAAAATGTTGCAAGCGCCATATTTCAACTGAAAATTTTGGTAGGGTAAACTGTAACAATAGTGGAATACACACAACTATTATATAATTTTATTATATAATTTTTTTTTTTAATACTAAACTGCATAAAAATATCTCTTTGATTTGTTATTAAAATTCTAGATCGTCTATAGATGTGTACTAATATTTTAACAGTAATATTCACGAGAGTGACACATCAGTAATAAAATATAATGAATGAATGTGTGTGTGTGTGTGTGTGTGCGTCGATGGATGGTGTCATTTATATTAAAATATTCTCATGCAGATGCTACGCCGTTTTATTACCAAAATTATAACAGTATCTTTCATTAGATTTGCGTCTGACAAATATAGAGCTTATATTTTCGTTTGCTGTGCCTGGAGGCTCTTTAATCATGTGAATTTATGCTAACGATATACGAGTTATTATGACTTGATATATGTGTGTCGCTGAATTATTTCACATTTACAAATAACAAGGACAGATTTATCTTTATGTTTCAGGAACCGATTATTTTCACGTAACAGATGATAAGTTATTTGCCAACGCGTTCTTAGACAGAGATGTTATCGGTCCACCTCCCAATGGACCAGGGCCTTACATCAAAATCCAAGTAAGATGCGTTATTTGGGAAGAAAAGACCGGAATGCAGTACGCGCGAATGAATGTTCTTCACATCGATATCTTAGATCAAGATGACAATCCTCCCAAGGTGCAAGGCCCCATTTCTATTTCTATACCGCTTCAAGATTTCACCGAGGTAAGATTACATCGGGAAGCAAAATTAAGCCAGTGCTGGTAAATTAATACCATTCGAGTAGAGCTTACGAGCACTTTACCTTCCTGGTATTAAGGGAGTCACAAATTTATTGCCAACCGCGAGCATAAGGACACTAATTATCTCTATTGAAATTCCACTTTGTGTTTACGTCCCAGTTCCAACTTCATTTTATAAGTCTGACACTGCTAATTTTTAATATTACTAATTAAATTAATCTTCAATATAATATTACTGATATTATTTAATTAAATTAATCTTCAGTAAGTAATTTTACTCTGAGAAACAAGAAAAGTAGAAGTAATTAGATAACCGTGTGCAAATTATATTTTGTATATAATAAAAATAAAAAATAGTTTAGAATAATTTCTGTTGTAAAACAGAAATTATTACTAAAAATAGGAAACAAAGTATACAGAACGAAGATGTTCTTGAAAGAGAAATAATTTTTCTCGCAATATAAAAAAACTACTGCGATTGCTTGTACATCACGACTTTTCTTGCGGAAAATTCCGACTGTTCTTTCGTCTAACATAATCAGCGTTCTGGAGCATTTTTGGTTTTTTGGCAAATTTCGGCATTTTTCTGTGAATGAATCTCATTTTTCAAACGTAATGTCACATTTCCGCGTCGGAAACGAGACTTAATCAAGCGCTCATTGTTCGTGTAATTACCGCGTTGTTTTGCGACGCGTGTAATGAAAAGAAAAGCCCGAGTGCGACGGGAGTTTCGCAAAGGATGAGGAAGGGTGATGAAATATACGAGAAGAACTGCTTCCGCGAGATTGATCCTGATTAAACATCCCGAGGTGTTTTCATTCCTCCGACGCATTAAAATGTGTCTTTTTCTTCGTCTACTTTTCACTTCTTACAAATAAGTACTGCTTTTTCTGCTTTTTCAAATGTTACTTTTCATCGTTCCCTTCTTCGTTTTCCATGAAAGTTAGCTGTTACGTTCAAGTGTCGAAACACCTGAAAAGTTTCTACGAACGTAATTGAAAACTTAATAGCCGTTTGTTCGATCGAAAGTTCTTGTCGTTTTAGTGGATAAAAATATTTGTTTTTGTTACAGTGAAGCCATTTAACGGTATTATAAAAACATAGAAGCCACAAACGTTCTTAAAACACTGCTTTTGTATAGTTAAACCATTTAAACTTTTAAAATATAGTTAAGTTGACATTTTATATGATGTTATATAAATATAGAGAGATTAAAAAAAACATAATCTTTTGTAGCCAGACGTCAAAAATGACTCCTAGACAAGGTCTGTGCTTTTAAAAAAACCAAAGCTTTTAAAGCTTTTAAGAAAACTAATTTTTTTAGAACCGCGCAAGTTTTTGAACGAGTCTGGAGACACACGTTTGATCTTGAAGAGATAATAATATACATTAACATAAATTATTATCTTCTAATAAACATAAAAACGTATTTTGTTGCAACAGGGTCACAAATTAGTAGACGGGACCCATTTGATCGTGCAGGACAATGACATGGTGACCAGTAACCAATATAGCGTTCGTTTGATTGGCGATACTTCCAACGCATTCAACGTTTCTTATCAATCTCACTCGATCGAACATACTAAGCGTCCGGTGCCTTACACCGCCATTATTCCCAGTAAGTACTGTGTATTCGTCAAAATTGATTTTTATCATCAGTTTTTATTTATTTATTTGACAAATGTCTTTAATGTACTTCATCTGTATTTTTAGTCATTTGACAGATGCTTGCATATATGCATTTTTTGTGTTTGTAAACGGAAATTATTTTCGTGTGTTTGTCAGACATCCACGCCAAGAAGACGTTGCTGCCAGAATCGCCGTACCACGTAACACTTCAAATTACGGATGAGTCGCTTCTCGAAGGACACGGGCCGAATTCGGTGAGTCGGTATATCGATTGTACGTCGTTAACACTCATTGGCAAACTACTTTGAAGTATTTGCTCCATTTGCAATGTGTCAAAGGCCAAGTAGTTTAAGAGTCGATTCGGAACAAGATGAGGATGTAGAGTGAGAGCAAAGTTAGTCCTTAACTTCTCCAAGCACTTTAGAAGCAGAATATTTGTCTACAAGTTTTTGATCGCTCACGGTCTTTGAAGATGTGAGCAGACTTCATTTTTTTATATTAGTTTTTATTAATATATTTATATTATATAACTTCAAAAACTATACAAAAATATTTGAATCGCGAGAAAATATTTCGATTTATCGAAAATCGATTACGTCAACGAATCAAATTACAACTTTCGATAATTTATTAACTATTCGTCGAAATGAATAAACAAAGACTGCGCGTACGTGAAAATCTGTTACCAGATTAAAAAAGTTTGCCCTTATCGTGATAAATTTCGCAATATCGGCAGAAGCTCCTTCGATATCTCATCAACGTGTGTCATTTACGAAAGGCGTGTAAAAACTTGAGGGCGAGAGTGCGCTATGCTGATCCTATAACTCGCAGAACGCTCGGTGGATCTAATATATGAGAAAAATAAAACTTGAGAAGAATAAGATCTTTTGTTCTTTGAGAACTATAGTCGCTTATATGAGGCAAACTTTTGCTTGTCAAAGATTTCTCATTTGCAATGAATCTCCTCGGCGATTATCACATAAGTTAGATAGAAATTCATTCTTGCCGAAAAATTGTATTACGAAATGCGATTTCAAGATAGAAAAATCTTGACGTAATCGAGTAATCGAGTAATTATTAAATCGAGTAATTATTAAGTAATAAATTAAACGATCTCTTGGATATAATTCTTGGCGTAAAATCGTTCTTGTTATTATTAGTTCCGAAGTTAAATCAAACTCGTTTTTCTGCGCATCCTGGAAATTGAGTATTCACGTCTCAATAAATAATACGAGCGTTCAATGCAAATTTCTTTTCATTTTTAAGATACGCCCCTTCCGTCAGAGCGAAACAACATAAATCTCCGTGTTTGTATCGAGGAAGTTGGAAATTAACTACTCGTTAATTGTCTCGTTAGTCGTGTAACTGCACCCCTAATTCTTGCTTCCCGGTATAATCGCAGATCATTAAACAATTAGGTGGCGAAATCCCGCTACCTTATCAGATGTACTTTAGGCGCGGCATTGATTTCGTGGAGGCAGCTATAATCGCGGATTAAATACCCGACATCCGCCGACTCAAAATGGCGCGTGGGTGAAGTCACTTTACTAGTTTTCATTTTAGCCGAGCCTTGGATAATGCGATTGTCGTTAGCGAGGTTTTCCTACGTGTGTTTAAACAAATAAAAAAATAGTTTTTTGTCGGAAAAAAACCTTTGTTCCTCGCAGAAATGTTTCTCGTTCTAGCTATTTGATCAAAATAATTTGATTGTCCACTCAGCGTGATGAAATCCACAATAAAGCTTCGGGAATTGCGACACAAAGCGCAATATGCAGAACCGAACGCATCCTGTCCTGTGTACCGCAGAATGCGATTTCCGGATAGTTCCTAAGCTCTTTTTTGCGATACGGATCGTATTAACCAAATATTTTTAGCATCACATCACGTTAGAGTTTATATCTGAAATTAAATTTATAGAAAAACGATTCTTTTATGAACTTAAAATTACAAGATTCTTTGATAATGTATGTGTAAAAGTCTGAAAATCATTTAATATTGATACAGTTGAGAAAATACTTGCCTATAAAATAAATTTAATTTTTGTTTAAAGTTAAATTTTAGAAACATTAAGAATTTAAGAACTACTTTTAGAATTGCCACGCACACTACAATAAATTAATTAGATTTGTCAAAAATTGTTTTGTCTTTTCTCATAGTGGTCTGTTGTTAAATATTTCATGAAAGCATATGTTGTTACTATTTGCCGATGTTGTATTCATTTTATGTAAACAGAACGCACGTCACTCCGAATACATAATTTCAAAAGAGAATAATGATTGGAAGCGCGATTCGCGAACGTAATGATAATCGGAGTGACATTTGTTCTAATTCGAGACTCGCGCTCTCTCTCTCTCTCTTCGTGCACGTTTAATAGATACCCTATATCATCCGCGTCGCGCGAGCGACCAGGTGCTTAAATTGAAACCACGCGAGAAAATAAATCTTGACGCCAATATCTAGCAATCCTCGACGACCTACTCTTGATATATGTTCCGTGACCCTTAAACCAGGTCGTCTTAGGTATCGGCGATCCTCATGAGTAATCTCGTCTTTCCTTGTGGAAGGAAACACCTCAACGTTCTCGTAGTTGAATCTTTAGAGACGTATTCGTATACAAATCGCTTTCATTACATGTACCTTGAAATACAATCTTATCATGAATCTTTCTTTATATACTTCGAACAAACAACGGAGATTTTGATTAATATTTCAAGTATATATCTTGAGAGCTTAAAATAGTCCCCAATTTTTTCTAAAAAAAGAAAGAAAAAGAAAGAAAAATACACGATTAAGATACATACACACATATATGTTTATATACATATATATTATAAACTTGAAGTTGAGAGTTTGCAATTTTCTCTCTTGCATCTATGTTTGCAAGACAAAATTAGTACGCGTTTAAGCACCGAGGACTTTTCCTCCATAACATTTCTCGTTCAGTGGGTGTACCAAGAATAGACGATAAATTCTAATAAAGAGAGTCACGTAGCAGTCGCACCCGCTGTGGTCTTTAATATCGATCTTTCGTGATAACATATCGCTCGAGTCTCTTTCGAGATTCTTCCTAATCGTGGGAAATCGTGTCTCCCGCTCTCTTTCTCTCTTCAAATTTCTTTTTACATAATAATTTAATAAGTATTTGTAAACGCGACATAAAACTTTCAACAGATTTCTATTTTAAATCATGTTTCGTAATATTTTTTTAAAGAATGTTTTTAATAAGAATATTATAAGTATACTATAATAATATGTATAGAAAGAAACGTATCTACATTATGAAATTATCTTTTAAACGTCTTTCTTCTCTTTAGAAATGTTGATTTGAAGGAAATTATATTGAAAAGAAAAAAAATAAGAAACTGATCTCTTAGATCAATACTTTTTCTTGGATTTTCTGACCTTTTTCGTAGAGTAGTTCAATTCTTTCGCACCATCAATCATTATATTGCAAGCTTCTGTAATAGAAACTTCCGGCAGCGGAACGTTTTTATTCGTTCACAAGGTGAGATCAATAAATAATAAGATCTTATTGTAGAAAGAAAAATTATTTCATAACAGATAAAATGTTACGACAGAGTATAGTAAATCCCAATTTCATATTAAATATGTCTATCTAAAACACGATACACAAATATGAATAATTTTTTCTCAAATTTTTGTTTCGGAGGATTTAACTATAATCTGTTAACTTTCTTTCACGTATAGGTGAACATCAGCGTAACTTTCTCAGGACCGGTGCATCGAACTCCTACAACAACGGTTTCGTCATCCGCGTCGGCACGAGACTCGTTTTCGTATCCGTCAAGTGTGAAGATAGCACGAATTTTGCCCAAATATCTTCGCGTGGCGGAACCTACCGTGAAGCCGCATCCCTCCACAATTTTCACCCTGCGTGGTTCGAGCGCTTTCAACGTCACCCAAAAGGGTGGGATTATATACGTGTCTAACGAAACTGAGCTGCAATCTGAGAACGACGTCGTTCAGTAAGTTTCCCTGTCTCTTGTAAATAGATCGATTTCTTGCGATAGCTAAAAAGAAAAATACAGAAATGCTCGTGTAATAGTAAAACCAAATATAATAAAAATAAAAATCAATTTCGAGCAAAAAAGTTGAATATTTACGTATTTACAAAAGCTTTATTTTGTTTAAATATATTTAACTTTCTTGCTCAAAAAATTGATCTTTATTATATTTAATATTGCGACAGCTATTTATAACAATCAGACAACTATTTCTGCACAACGCGCTAGTGCTAAAAGCACGAACAAAATTAAAGTATTTTTAATAGATCGAGATGATCTCTTGTGTAGTATAAAAAAGGCTAAGAAAAATTATACATTCAAATTTGAATCTAAATGCCAGACATCAAATTTATTTCGATCAATATCTTTGAAAATAAATCAGATATTCGGGTAACACATATTTAGCACGCAAATGCAGCTCAAATGACCTTTTTTCTCGCGCGAATAAACATTGAAACATGTTCGTATATTCTTTGTGCTACTTACCTGAATTATAGGTGTGCTTACATTTCTAGTACATTTACGCTGAAGAAAAAGATTGATATAATCTTTTGAAAGTTCAGACTTACTTTACTCAACTCATCCATTTTAGTTTTAAAATACGTCTGCCCTGAAAATGACCGAATTTAATACTGCAAATATTATAAACAAAAATTATCGACGCAAAAAAACTAATTCCTGTCTCACATCGACGTCAAAATGACAATTTTATAAATATTGGCATTTTGCCCGTGCACAAGGTGAATTTTCTTGTCACGTGCATGACGCGGTATTGGCTTGTTCATCAGACTGAAATTAAAATGGAGCGGACCGGATCGCGTATCGGCCAAGACAACGTTGCGCGTGATTTTGGTGACACCTGCAAAAATCGATACGTGCGAACAATCGGCTGAAGAGAAGATATCTACATGCGCGAAAGCAGATTCGCGTAAAAATTGCGAGAAATCGTGCGGAATTGGCAGTGGAGTTTTCAGGTATGTTTTATTATGTACAACGCTTTTCCTCGCAAAATTTCTCTAAACTTTAAATATTTGTTCACGCAAAAGAGACATTTTACTTCATTTTCTGGTAATGTGTAAATACACTCAGTGAGCAGGAGAAGTGCATTTAGTAACATTAGTTAGAAAACAAACGCTGCTGTTTTACTTTATGATCGTCTCTACAGGGACAATGTGGAAATTCTATTTTATGTTTATGTATCAAACATTTATAAAAAATTACCGGCATTATTAAGTTTGTATTTTACCGAAGAGTTAAAAGAACTCGTTGAAAAATACAAAAAAAATTGTGCATTGGCCATCTAACAACTTTGAATGAATTGTTAAATGACACGTAACACACTTACAGCAACTGTGATTAAAAATGCACTTGTTCGACTTGGGATATAATAATGTCTGGTATAAAAACTAACCTTTTCCAATATCGAACATTGAGCTCGCGCGATATTGTGTATCTCGGAATTGGTGATGATTCTCTATAATCAAATAACGGTGTCATTATCTTCTTTCTCTTTCTCGAAGAGCATCATGTTGCCATCAGGCTCAATTCTCTGTTGTAACGACTATTTCGGATAGTAGCGTATTAGGTTTATGGCCTCTTTTCCATTAGATTCTATATCTGATTCGTTTTCCCTATTTTCCCGATAACCATTATTTTTCAATGACGTGATAACACAAAAGACAATATGTACTTGGCAATTTATTGGCTTTTTTATCTTTTTTTGTCTTTTTTAGTACGATAAAAAATAATATAATAACACTTTGTACTAGTTTTTACTTCAGTTTTAATAAAATATCTTTTGAAATATATTTTGTTAGTTAGTAATATCATTGCTAGCATAGTCTAAAAAAGTATCTCATCAAAATTTATTTAATTATATCAAATATTTATAAAATAAATTTATATTTTTCCTTTATGATGTTGTTATATATTTTTTGTTTTTGTAAAAAGATACATGTGATAATTTTAATGTTATTTACTTAATCGTGGGAAATTCCATTCATGAATTTATGCGTAGTAAGAACAGTTTCGTCGGTCAATGCGTATGGAGAGGCAACCAAAGCTCTGCTCAAATGACAGAATATTATTCCACCTGTACACCGAATTTGGCTCATTGTCCGGATAACGAATGCGACGAACTGGAGAGCAGCAATCCGCTCATATGTCCGCAAGATTGCACCGAATGTGAGTTGCACGCGCCATTCAGATTAAGTAGATCAAAGTCAATCGTATAAAAAAAATATTTTTACAGCGAGCGCTCTCTTTAACATTGGGGAAAAAAAAAAAATCGAATAAGATTTTTTACGTGAAGAATAACGTATTATACAATATATTTTTTAATATAAAAGTCAAATTGAAGAAACTACTTATACCCTGTTTCAATTATATATATTTCGAAATTGATATAAAAAAAGACTCTAAACTAAATGTGAGTTCCAAATACAGAAGGATTGACTAAGAAATTCTGATGTAAAAATCCCGTTTCTATCGTACAAAAGCTTTCCATTTAAAGAGATCTCGCATCTGATTGAAAGAGCTTTAGGGTCATTGAACAAGTATTACCATGCTCGCATCGCAGTGACGCTCAATCGACTTCAGAGTGATCGTATTTTCGGGGGTTTTCAGCTGTTTTCTTCGGTCATATGAACGAAAACGGCCGCGGTATCAAAACCGGCATGGGTACCTGCGCGTGTGACGAAGATTCAAAATGCGTATGCAGTGCCGAAACGTTTCAGCAAGCGAACGACGGGCCAGGCACCAAGGACGATCGGCAAGATCCCAACAAATTAAGAGATCGGGAAAACGAGGTCGTCATATCGGACGCGCGCAAAGGTGATCGCAACACATTTTTGTTAGGCATTAAATCACAATAAACAATAGGAGAACTGGTGGAATCCTAGAAGTTAACACAGACTACTTATATAGTTAGTATTAAACTTCAGAGTCGTTAGAAACAATTTATTATGAATTATCTCGTACGGCGTAAAATAATCGAACAGTTCTCTTAATATTGTGATTTCTATATCAAAGTGTCTGTTTTCCACTACATTAGATGCTAACCTTTGTCCTTTACGCTTCTGTAGCATCCGTTGGAGCGTGCGGTGCCACATGCATGATGGGCATCTTCGGAGCCAGTTTGTTTGTACTATTAGTGATTGTGGGATCGCTCGTTATATGGAGATACAGGTAAGAAAAGTCAAAAAAAATTTCATTAAAATTTTTAATTTTTTTGAATGTTAGTTTTCAACACAAAAAAAGAATAAACTGATATTAATATAGTTTAAAGAAAACTAATAGCGTTACGATGCAACATGGTGAATTCTGACAATATATCTTGTGTCACAAGACTTTAAGTCTATACAAGTCTTAGGAATTTGATGAAATATCGTTTCTAAACCGTAGTAGCCGAGCTTATCGGCTTAAACCTCGTGTTTACGACGGATTAAAGACATGGCTAAGTTCACGGTTAACCGAGATTTCGAGCATAGTGTATATTCCGACTTGCTGGAATACGCTAACGCGGAAAACTGTAACAGAAAAACGCAAAAGATCAGCTATAACGCGTATATAGACGCGTATACCGCGCGCAGATCGATGCATATTCATTATAGTGGAATAAAAAGCGTTAGAGCGTCATCCAAACATGAGATCATGCGCAGATAGCTAGACGGATCGATAATCCATAAAATCTCGTTACCTGCGCGATAGGCTTATCGTCTTGCACTTTGTTGTCAATTCTATTTAAAGCCCGCATAGCTTTCATGTTGATGAAATATTTCGTACACCTCTTTCTTTTTTTTTCTCTCGTTTTCTCTCTCTCTCTCTCTCTCTCTCTCTCTCTCTCTCTCTTTCGCTTTGACGTTTATAATTTTGCCTGATTTCTTCTTCTGAACGAGAATGAATTATAAAAGTATTTTCAGAAGAAGAAAGAACATAGTTTTGCTTGACTTGAAGCGCGAGTTGAGTAAACTCGTTGTCGAGAGCTCTCATAGCGAACGAAATTGCAGAAGTTTCACCGATGTGCACATTGCGACGTATCTCTGTGCCGTACTCGCAGCTTGCAATCAACTACTTTTCTCTCTTTCGTATTTTGTAAACTTTTAATTATGTGTTGTCCGAAACCATTATAACATTCATATAATATCTCTTTTTCTGCATGATAATTTTCTAATTAATTTAATTAACACGAATTATATATGTGTGAAATTATATGTGCGTGGAGAAATTTATTTATCTCCGTGCATGTAGACATTCCACTTCTGCCCGAATAAATTTCGACTAAAATATAATAGTGTGAGGAATCGCAAATATGTATGAAACTTGAGCTTGCAAATCCGTAAACTATTTAGTCTATTATTTAAGCTATTTAAACTATTTAAACTTTCATAATGTCTTTCAAAATTTCTCTTTGAAAGTAACTAGTCTTGGAAAGCAACTAGTGTGATCACAATGTGAAACTTCTGCTACATTAACAATGTATTGACGGAATTATTTAATAGAAACAAAAACCGCGTAGTCACATTTCTTCGAATAATAAAATAAAATTAATTATTTTGTTTGGTTGATTAAAACAACTTTAAATGATCATATTATTCTACAGTTGATAATCACTTTCGTAAGAATCTTTCGGAATCTTAAATCTAATTAACTAATTAAATTACTTAATTGTCATAATTGAGATAGCAATATAGGTATCAAGCTACTTCATTTTACTTCATCGACCAAAATGGCTCCATATAATCCAACATACCTCGTCTTCCGCATCGTAATGTTCTGCGTTCCAGGATAGCAGCGAACCGCGCTCGGCGGGAATGCAAACATAGGGTGGATGATACGACCAATGGTATGGGTATTTTGCCGTCCGACTACATCGATCGCGGTGATGGTCTCCTGATCGGTCTAGACACCTTCACGGCGGCAAATCGTCATTTGTTGCTGCCTAAGACGTGCCCGGTAAGATATCCGCTTAATTATCCTATCAGAACTAGTCACGTAACAGGAAAGTGTAGAAAAACAACATGTGAAAATAACGTGACTGTAATTTATATTATATATAACATTAAATAATACATATTATACATATAATTTATTATATATTTATAATATTATACTTTATATTGTATTATATGTATTATATATACATACTACAGTAATGTCACTGACCTCGGCCGCGCGGCCTTGGCGGAGTCACTGACCTCGGTTGCGCGACCGCGGCGGGGTCACTGACCTCGGTCGCGCGACCGCGGCGGGGTCACTGACCTCGGTCGCGCGACCGCGGCGGGGTCACTGACCTCGGTCGCGCGACCGCGGCGGGGTCAATGACCTCGGTCGCGCGACTGCGGTGGAGTCACTGACCTCGGCCGCGCGACCGCGGCGGTGTTACTGACTTCGGTCACGTGATTACGGTATATATATATATATATATATATATGCGTATGTGTGTGTATTATATATAGATATAGAATATTACATATAATATATATAATATTCTCTTTTTTACCCTTTTCCCTGTTACGTGACTTTAGTCACGTGTTGTTTTTCCACTTCTCTCTCTCACTAGTTTTTGAGTTTGATTTTCATGCGTTGTTTCTGACATTTCTCATATGTGTATTATATGGTTTATAAGACGTATATACTATCTGTCATCGCGGTGACAAGTTGTGTTCACTGACAACACGTTAAATAAAAATAACAATAGCGTGCGCGTAGCGCGCGCCTGTGTTGTGCTAGTAAATATAAATTGAATATAAGACAAAATCAAATAAAATATTTTGTTTATTTATATCCTTAATACGTTTTTTTTGTCTAAAAAAAAAGTCCTAGAAATCGCTCTTTTCTGCATTTGTGTTTTTAGTAGCGCAATACAATCTACGAGCGCTTTTCTTCGCGATTGTCTGCTGCACGTGATGCACCGTGTACGTGCGTGTTAGCGTGTTTTCCGCGCAGCCGCGTAATCCTGCATGCGACAGTGTGGTAAGGCGCGTAAGCTCCTGTAGCTTTCCGCACAGAGAAGTGCGAAACTAGGGAGATCGCTTCTCGGAATCTAACGCGACACGAAAACTCGGTCAACCTTCGTAGAGTTTTCGAGGTATTTGTCTACCTAATGCCGTTGGCGCGTGCCTGATCGTCCGCAATCCCGATGATCTTTTAAGAAACGCGTTAAATCGCGGAGGATATAACGCAATTTCCCATAAAACGTGTCTTCTTAGGAAGATACATTGATTCGAGTCAATTTGAAAAATTAGAAAATGTATTATTTATTATTTATTAGTGTTAGTTTATTTTTTGTCTTAAAAAGTCTTGAAAAACTTTTAGAGAATCCTGAACATTGTTTTGAAGAAAGTATTAGTCTACACACAGTTTGTTAATTGTGTCAAGGATTATTCGAAAAAAAGAAGCTCATTGACGGTTTAGTACTTTTTGAAAATAGAATCAATAGATAATGCGCTTCTCTCGTCTTGTCAATCTTCCTAAAGTGATGGAAAATTCTGGTTAATCACGACGATCGCGCGTTTTATTGCGTGCTTCTCGCGCTGCAAACCTTGATTAAGAAAACTCTCGACGTACACAGAACGTCTTTGAAACAAATTATGCAAAAAAGCTTTATTCAGCAAGAACCTTCGCGTTTACGGAAACTTTAGCAACGCTCGTATTTACTTCGAGAGTTTTACTCCGAAATTAAAGTCGACTCGGTGTCCCGCATCTTTAAGCAATTCTCAAAAGTGTTCGGCTTAATTACAACGCTCGGCATTATACGGGTCATTCCGTGAAGGATTTTATAAATTTCAGAATATATATTATCGCGCGGATTTTGTGCTTATTCCGCAAAACATGTTTGTCTTGATAAAAGAGCAACTTTTTATATTTAGCAAATTTTTTTCTTTCTCAAGCCATACACAGAATGCAGATTCACTTCGTTGCATCCTTTTAAACATCGCGAAATCTCAAAATTCGCGGTCAAGTGCTAAGCATCGTGGAGCAAATTGTGTCAACGTCTATAAAATTTATAAAAATGCACACTTTTTTTATTATTTCTAATTATCTCACAATATATAATTTCTCAGAATATTTTCACGGAAATCTTTTTCTTTTTTTTTTTTTTTTAAACAAACAGAAAGATGCAAGCTGGCACTTCCATTGCCAGAAGCGCACTTACAATCGAATGAAAAGACGTGCGAGAGAAAGATGTCAATAAAAAAAGATTCAAAGCTATGATATGTCAGCGGAATTCGCGATATTTCTATTCTTCGCGAAGTGCGTTCTCTGTGAAACGCGCGATATCAGTTCGAGATAAAGTCGTGCGGCTCTTATTCGATAAAGTCGAAACGATGATGCTTGTTGTGCGCGGTTCAGCGAACAGTAGGTATAGGGACGTTTACGGGACGTATAAACTCTTCCGTGACGCACATACGAGCCATCAAATTCTCTCTTGCGTGTAAATAAATTTATTATACAAATTTTTTATTATACAAATTTATATTATATGCAAATTTTTTTGTTGTCAGAGTTTAGAAGGAAGAATTTTATTAAAAATTTTACCGAAATAGAAGTAGTCCGCTTAAGTTAATCATTTATTCCGACTTGCGTTCTGAAATATTTCTTCTTTGTTGAATCGCTCACTTTTGAATGTGACTCGACTATTGTCATTTCCCTGTTTTTACATTAGTCTTAATATATACTCTAGTCTCTACTTCCTCGGTAAAATTGCCGAGTCGGAAATACTAGAAACTAGATTGAATTGTCACCGTATTTCGCGACTATCCTTGTATATTTTTGTCGTTTCGCTAAAAACTAGATACCAATCCTCGACAGGCTCGCTACTCGAGAGATAGTGAATAGGCGAAGGTGTCAAGAGAGATAACACGACAAGAGACGACTTACTTTCGTAAGTCAATAACGCGGTGTTACAAAATTCATGTTTTGTAAGTGCATCGAAAGATGTTTTTCCCGTGTGTAAGAAGAAAGAACTTCGATGATATCGGCGGGCGAAAAAGTTCGCTCTCTCGATTCTTTGCGAAATAAAGGAGCACACGCGAAAAATATATATTGAGAAATGTATAACGTGTCGCGTCGATCTATGTGAACGATTTGAGAGCGTGGACTTTATTGATCGATTATAATCTTCGTTAAGATTAATGAACGTAGTAAAGCAAGAGCGTGTGTCTAACCGGCGTGAGATCTTGTAGCTTAATTCTCCGCGGATAAGGCAATACTACTAATTTACGGCGTCTGCTAATGTGAGACGATGTATCTCTCATTAACTACGTGATCCTATTATCATTCCCGAGACGTCGTTTAATTGGATACTCGCTCGCGTCCTTTGCGAAGCAACTCGTGCGAAGTAATACGAGCAGATATCTCGTCTGACGCGAGTCTGAAAACATGTTCCAGCGAGGCGTAACGCTTGGATTAGAGGGAGCCGGAGCTTTTATCGTAACCAGCACGAAAGGATTTAGTAATCCATTCTCGCACATACACTCACACCGCGCTATCCTTGTTCCAAATCTCCCGAAATGTTCTTCTCTCTTATTGTGCAAACATATATTCGAGAATTGGAGCAGAAAACATAGCACACAATAATATAATAATTTTAATTAGAGCGGTTCTCTAAATACGTCAAATCAATTAAATTCGCAATTAGAAGAAAGAGTTTGTGTTTGAAGAATTACATAAATCGATTACGGAATTTCCACACGCGATGATTTATAGACGGACCCGAAATGGGAATTTCCGCGGTCGCTGCTGAAGATCGAGCAAGTGTTGGGCGAGGGCGAGTTTGGGCGAGTTTTGCGCGCCAAGGCTACGAACATCAGCGGAATACCCGGATCGACGACGGTCGCGGTGAAAACTCTGAAAGAAGATGCATGCGCGTCCGAGTTGGCGGATCTGCTGTCCGAATACCAGTTGCTGAAAGAGGTCCAGCATCCAAACGTGATCCGGCTGTTGGGAGCCTGCACGTCGCCTCCGGGAGCGCCTGTCTATCTTATCATCGAATTCGCTGAATTCGGTTCCTTACGGTAAGTGAAAGAGTCACGTGATATATATATTCACCTGCTATCTCGAAGCTATTTATGATCCTCCCGTTTCACGCTTCTGACCTCGATAGGAAGTCCTGCCACGTCGAGACTGAACGAATTGACGCGCGACTCGTACGCGTCACCGTCTATTGTAACACACTAGCTTTTGTGACGACAATCATGTTCTTTCGCAATTGTGATACAGAAATAAAACGCTCTTACAACACTAAAAACCTTCTAATTTAAGGCGTCTAAAGTGTATAAATACGATTTCCTAATGTACGCGAGAAAATATTAACCGTCAGTATTCCTTTAGTTCGTATTCTGGTATTTTTATCGTCTTCGCGATCTATGAATAATAATAAAAACCACGCGATCTTATTCCATTTAGACCTACAATGTCCTTATGCACATTCCATATATACGCGTCTAAATGAACGACGTTACACGGCCGACTTATAAACGCGGAAATAATTCTGAGAATTGCTGCGATGTGGAAATTCCGTTGTGTGGAATTTCGTCGTTGTCAGGACAATAACCTGCGCGCGAAACCAGTTGAGCTCGGTAATTAAATTTTTCCGTAGACGCGACACACGTGCCATAACGGCATATTATGGTATCGTAACAGCACTATCTCCAGAAAAGCTCATTTTTCTGAAGAACAAATTGATGTCCGATAATTTCGTCGGATATTGCTCGTGGATTTTCATAGGATATAAAAATTACATTTACCTACACAAAATTTCAGCAACTATCTAAGACGCAGCCGGCACTTGGAAACAGAAAGCAGAATTTCTGATTCGGTGTCAATGCTTTCCACCACGCCGATCAATCTCGTCAGGGAGTCACGGTTCACTGGTAATAACGCATCGAACTATTCTGTAACGCCACGTGATATCCTTTCGTTCGCTTGGCAAATCAGCAAAGGGATGTCATATCTCGCCGAAATTAAAGTAAGTTTCTTTCGAAACCATTTATTAAATTATTATTTTTTAAATTTTAATTAATCAAAAACCCAGCTAAAAAGAAATTCAAATAAGAAAAACAATCTAACAGCTGTAATCCACCGGTGAAAAAATGTGCAAACATCAACAAAATTTTTACTTGAAAAATATGACCAATTTGTAGTCAAACATCGCAGTGATTTGAGCCATGATCCAATGGAATGATGTAAAAATGTTGTATTTTTTATATAGATTGGCTGATAATGGTCAAAACGTTCCATGTACATTTAGAAGTCTAAATTTAATTTCACAATCAATTAAACCACCAATAGACTACAGCTGTTGTGTTAAATTATTTTTGTTTTTTATTTGAAGTTTTTACATTTTATTCTGATTATATTATTATTCTCCCGATAAATAAAATTTAAAATAAAAGTGTTCATATACAAAATATGTAGGTTCTAAAAGACAGAAAAAGAGAGAGAAAATTAATAACTAAAATAACTTTCTGTTTAGCATTTAATTTAAATTTTGCAAAGTTGTTGATACAATTTGCAAGCTTGTTAACAATTTAAGAGCACGTAACATTTCTCTCTTTGGAAAGTCGTAAAATTACTCAACTCTGACGCGTCATTCATTAGCAATTAATCAAAGTTTCCTCCGCACTGCAGTTGGTGCATCGCGATCTCGCAGCGAGAAATGTTTTGTTGGCAACCAGCAAAGTCTGCAAGATTTCGGACTTTGGTCTGACTCGAGATGTATACGAGGACGACGCGTATTTGAAGAGAAGCAAAGGTCGAGGTGAGATTATCCGCTAAATTAATTATTCCTGTACTTATCCTTATTCATTTGGAATTTCGTTTTCTGCTTTAATTAGCTGAAAATATAATATAAGTTTGTGTATTTGATAATAGATTAAAATTTTTTATTTATAAATATCATATACATAATTTGCAAAAATTGCGATTCACTAAAAGTATCCATAAACAACATTGAAATCCCCGAATGAGTTAAGTGTAATATTGCAAGCCGCAGGTAATGCTCTTTTAGCGAGCTGATACTAACGATCATAATTTAGCTGCGACAGAGTAATCCGCTCGTAACTCTCTCGGCGGATTCGCGGAGAAAACACTTTTAATGACTCGTATCCGAGTCCGACTTTTACGCTACGCGTTATCCAAGGTTTTACGATTGGTGTCGGTAGTACCCGTAAAATGGATGGCGCCGGAATCCCTGGCTGACCATGTGTACACCAGCAAATCGGACGTATGGAGCTTCGGCGTGCTCCTGTGGGAGTTGGTCACGTTAGGAGCCTCGCCGTATCCTGGAGTGGACGTACATAATCTCTACAATCTACTCAAATCCGGCTATCGTATGGAAAAGCCGCCTAACTGCTCGCAACAGTTGTAAGTTTGTGCCGCTTGTGTGATTTTTTTCCATATATCTAAAATATATACAATATAGCGCTTTTACGAAAGTCGTTATTCCTATAAAGATTTTTATGTGACAAATTTCATTCCACTTGGATTTTTTCCTTGTACTTATAATTAAAATTAGTTAACAAAAAAATATTGTCTTTAATTGTGGTTTTTTATTCAATTTTACTTATTTTTTTAGAAGAAAATTTGTGATCCGCTTGTATCAAGAGATATTTTTTAGATACAAAATGATGGTGTCCTGCTGGCATCAAGAACCAGCCATGCGACCGTCTTTCAAGGAACTGACTAGCCATTGGGAACGCATGCTGGAGGATGGTGTCGAATATCTCGATCTTAATCCACGAACCGTTCATAATCAGGCCTATTTTGCGTTTTTGGAGGATTTAGACAGTCCCAATGGTAAATAAAATAAGACTCGAAAAAATATTTAAATCCACATATCTTTAAGTTCAGACAGTAATAAAAACTTATTGTCTATTTATTTAATTTCACAGTTTTAAATTATTTTTGTGCACAACAAAGTTTTAATTCGATCACGCTAATAACATTTTCTAGGATCTGGTAACGATCAAGTGGACACTGGAACCACTGCCACCACCGTGAAGACAGACACCGTCAACTATCTCGGTCGGATACCTTCCGAGTCCGTTACTAAATGCGATAAAGTGGACAAACTGCAGACACTCTGGCAGCCAACCGTAGCGTCTTTTCCAGAGGAACCCGGAAAGTCTTATGTAAACGAACAACCCGCATGTCTGAGCGCAAATCATTATGAAAGTCCGATAAAATTGAGGAACGTCAGTGAAACCAGCAACAGCGAGAACGATCTGAGAACACCAACTGAACGTCCTCAGTCTTATATCGATATGCAAGGAAAGAAATTGAAAGACACGGAAGACCTCTTGGTGTTTAGCAGTTTGGATGACGACAAAAACGACAATAACGACGTAACGAACTGATCGGCATAATCTTACATTAAATGTTTGATAAACAAGAAACTTCAAAAATGAGAAAACACACTTGAAATCTCGTGTTTTTGTTGTCTTGGAATGGATACATGATGAATGAAGGACAATTGCCTGGATGAGCAATTGCGATGTGATTGCGAGTTGTATGAAAGGGAAAGATATTTTATATAACATGAGAAAAAGAAAGAAAGAGATGGAACAACGAGATGAAATACGATCGAGAAAACCAGCGAATGTAGAGTTGCATAAAAGTTGCGAATAGGAGTTAGAATAAAACGCGAAAAGAATGTTTGAAAAGAGAACTTCCCTTGAAGAGGGAATTTACACAGATATCCACGGAGATATCTACAGAGAGAGTTAAGAACAAATTATGTCGCGCAAAACGATTACTGTACCAGGTAATAAGTGTCCTATTTTTATGTACTTAAAAATGTACGACTCTGTCGAACTGATAAGATCGCTTTTACTACTATTAAATAAAATAGAAGTTACGTATAATAGCTATTTGTGCGATTTATCAAAAAACCATCATCGAGAGAATTATATTCAATCATTATTTAAAAAATTTTCTGTATAACATTTTATACACACACATACATACACGTACACACTGCAGTGATGGGTTTGTGAGAGTTTTTCCTCATTAAAAAAACAATAAGTTTTTTTTATCATAAACACATACAGAATGTTTCAAACGAAGAGGCATAAAGTATTTTAATTTTCTATCGTTAGCAAGAACAATTTACAAAATAACCATTTAAATTTAATCAAAGCGCATAACTTTGTAAAATATTTACTACTATATTTGAAAAAATATTTATTTATTACATTTATTTCACGATATTATATGTAGCAAATCTTTTTCGATATAATATTCGCAAATGAGAATAGCATATATATTTGCAATTAATAGCAATATTTGGCGAGCTTCTTTCTGTATTGCTCGATACTATTGATCTGAAATTTAATTGTTATATTTTCTTTGAAACCAAGACATCTAGTGTCGCATTTTTGTGACTCTTTCATGCGTCCGATACAATACCAGAAGCAGATTGCACGTCGAAATACAATAATAAGAACAAAGTGTGTGAGTAATATGTTTAGGCAGCGTGCGCAAGCTTCGGTTAGCACGACATATCTGAATACAAAGACTGTGTTTCACCGTACTTAACCGAAAACAAAATCGTCCTTTTTGTATTTATGTATAAAGTGCAACATTCCACACATATACACACATATACACACGATTAGTCTAGTTATTTATCATACGGGTTTTAGAACGTATGATTTTTTAACTTATACCACTTACTTATTGTGTTTGCGTTTTCGCTCCCGACGCTAACAACAACGATATCAAGCACGCACGCGCGTTTTAAAACCAAATATTGTGCCATATTATTTTCTTGTAATTAATATATACATGTATTATATGTGTATATTACGAAACATACAAACTTTAAGCTTCCATAACAACTTCTTTATGTTATTCTTACCTGATTTCCAGCGGCGTTTTTCCAATCGCGCTATGTCGCAACAATAAAATTTTGTTTTTATATATTTATATATTTCAATAAAAACTTTTGTTTGAAAGTTTACTTTTTCAAAAAAGATGCACAAAAATAGGTTCAATGTAAACTTGTTTTTTTTGCTTCAAAGACAAACAGCATTAAAAATTTTTTATTCAAGACAAATATATATAAAATTATATACAGTACCGTTTATATATAAGAGTTAAATTATAAGCTATTCTTAATATGTATTAAAAAATCACAAGTTTAATTTGTCGATGCGAAACTTGCAATCATTTCTCGCGGAATTGAGAACAAACGACTTCTCTTCGCCAATTTCGCCCAAAAGATTCAGTTCGTCAATATTTGTCGTAAAAGACTGAGGCATAACTTCGCAATCTGGAGTATCTGGGCATCGCGGAGTCTTATTTATTATAGGTTGATCGTCATTGCGAATTATAGTTTCTTGTACGACGATTGGTGATAACAAACCGTCTGAGAAAAATGACATAACATATACAAATAAAATATACATTTAGCAATTAAATTTATCGAACAACAAAGAAATAAAATATAAAAAAATTGATCAAAGGACTCTGCAAAATTCTTATGAGAAATAAATCCTTTTGGATAATTTTTGTTAAACTTGTGAAAATTCGAGTGTGTAATGTAAACTTACCAGTTTCTTTGATATTTTTCGTTACGCTGATCTCGTCTTCCAACAATTTCACTGTGGCGTATCTAATACTTTCGACCAGTTCTCCGTTCGAGGCCACAAGAAAGTGTTGACAACCGATACCGTGAATCGTATTCACAAGCTTTGCCAAATCTTCGGGCAAATGAAACTTTCTGAAAAGTCGCGCCTCCTCCGGTATTTCGTCCGGTTTGCAATATGGCAGATGCACCGCGTAATATCTCTTATTTCGCTGCGGATAGTTCTCCTTCAGCAATCGCAATAGATGATTATCCACGTTTCGATAGATGATTGTTGTGTCGATTTTTGAAGACGGTGGTGGAGACGTCGCGACAAGTACAACATCCGCGGCTTGAAACGCTGTGTTGCACCACAGTCCTGGATCCTGCGATTACATAGAATTATCTGAACTTGTAAACATAAATTTTCACATAATGAAATTTTATTGAAGCTATTTAAGTAGTGCGTATTTTCATTGTATTTTAGTTTGTGTTCTTTGACAGCACAACAACCGCTGTGATTTTACAGATGTGTTGATTTATATATAATTTACTCACTTTACTGGCGGTCTCTGCGATGTCGAGCATATCTATCATAGCATTAATATTACAGCATCGCAGATACTTTGCCAATTCCGCCATTACGCTCACATGCGTAGCGTGTGTCGGGGAATATATCAGCAAGCAATTCGGTGTCATCGCCATTCTCTTTAAGACTATTCTCGAAAATGTCTATTTGTTAAAAAACCAACTTTTCAAAGTAGAGAATATTTGCAAGAAAAAAAAATCTCACCCTTCTTTCTGTAAAACTTATACACGTGATATAACGCGTACAATAAAACAGGTGGTACCCATATCAAGCTGATTATCATGATTAACAGTCGGTGGGACGCGCGTTCTGAGAACATTAAATTGCGTTAAAAAAAAAAACAAAGATATATTTTCAGAAATACGATATAAGATATTTTTAATTACGTCGAGTTTTATTTACTTATGTAAATGTATGGTGTCGTGCTGTTTGCGCATCCATATTCGCCGCAATCGGGATGCATCGCCGCGACTTTGACGTAATACGCGCCATTAGACGCTGAGAAGTTGAATTGAACGTGTTCCCGGTTTTTGTCCGTCAAAATAATCGCGCTGATTATCGCGTCTGTATTATTGTTGATAACCCACACTTTATACTCCGTCACGTTGTATTTTTCCGGAAGCTGTTGTACGTGTATCGCCACATTCGACGAGTCTGACACGTCCGCGTAAATAAAAGGAGTGAAAGTTTCGATTTGTATGCCGTCCTCTGCGGAAGACTCGTACATAGATTGTCAAAGAATTAACGAACGCAAAAATAATTAATGGCGCGAGAAAAACCCACCGATATGTGTGTGCTGCGGCACATAAAATATATACTTTTTGTTGTAATACGCATAATTCTCGTCGCCTGCGAGATATTCCAAACGATATGGGGATCCTTCGTACGCAGCGTCCGAAAACGGACACGACACGTACAGATCTTTAGGTGCGGAATGGCTGGAGTTCCCATACAACATTATGTGTCTACACGCGACCTTACTTTCGTCAACGATACTTTGATAACGCATGACTAACCCTGTTTCGAAAAATAAAAGATATACTATAAAAATTTAATTAATTATACGCGTTTGTTGTAAGGCCTATCTACATAGATATCTACGTCAAACTGACCAATCGATCAAAGTGATTAGTTAATTTTACGAGATTTGCGATCCGCGTCTGCGTCTTATGTAGATAAGCCTTTTATACATAAATTGAAATATTAAACGCTTTTAAATAAAATTAAACTCCTTACTGTGAAAATTTATATCTGAAATTGACAAATTAAACGCAGTAGCTCTTTGCTGACTATCGAATTTCATAACGTACGCGCGCAACGTAAAAATTGCGCCGTCACCTTCTTTTGACGGCTTGTACCGGACATCGTCGAACTGTAATTTTTTGCAATCTAAAACATTGTGCAACGTTATGATAGTATTACGACAGATGTTTTTTTTTTAGCAATCTAGCTAAGCTATTACAAAAAATCATATAATTCTCTTCTTACCTTCATTCGTTTGTACTTGTGTCAGTAAACACGAGAAACCTGGTATTGGTTCCAGAACAGTCTATATAAACAGGAAACACATAAAAATTATGTTCAGACAAGACTGAGTTTTGAGATTTCTTTTTAACATAGTTCATGTGTTCTTTGATTCTCGTGCCTAATTGTCTCCCAGTTTGTCCGACATAACAAGCGTTACAATTTTCACATTCAATATGGTACACTACGTTTCTATTTTGATTAAATACAACAGAGTTTCTTTGTGAGTTTTAATGTATTTGTTTAAACGAAAAATGTTTCTGTATGATAATCTAATATTCATTTTATTTAAGTTGCTAGAAAGTGTGTTTGACTGATCATCGGCGAATGGTATAACAAAATAATTAACATCATCTGTCATCTGTATATCGCCGTCACTGTTAGTCATATAAAGAATATTGAGTTTTGTGTTAAATAATGTTTTTAATCGTCTGTTAATAGTTTTAAATATAATATCTATTGGATAATGGTTTGCTATGAGAATCTTGATGCATAATTTTAAGTTTTTTGATGAAAAGATGGATCTGACAGTAACAACGCTCTATCTAGAGTATTTATTGTACCGATTTTATGACACAGAAGGTTTTGTGACAAAAACTGTAGGTATACAAAAAAACAAATTTAAAAAATCTCTAGTTTCGAAATATATAAACATAGAAAACAATAATTTTACCTAGAAACACCGATCTGACATTTTTGAGCAGACCCATATCAGTCCACGAAGAGTTAATCGTCATGAAAAAAGATGACTAATCGCGAATGAACGAGCTAATGATAAAATTTTTTTTTTGTGGATTCTATCATCAATTGCTTATGTAATGCAAAGTACCTAAGTAGTATTACTTCTTATCTCATTTATCTACTCACGACTACACACACATGTATAAAAAGTTTAAAAACAATATTATATAGATAAACTGCCGTCTGTGAGTAAGCTTTATGTAGCACAGTATATTACATGATAACGTATTTATATGTTGTTTCAAAAATACAACACTGTTAATACTAGAGATTGAATTAGACAAGAACAAAAAGTAAAGAAAGGGAAATGGAAAAAATTGTTTTGACAGAATTTATAAAATAATTGTCAAAAAGTTATTCACCGAAAAAATTAATCGCAAAGAGAAAAAAGGAATTAACACAAAAGGCTCGCAATTCTTATGACATTTCGTGTCGACGCGTCTGATGTCACGCTTCCAATGATGCCTCGATAACCAAATGATAGCAGTATGCCAGCAGTATGCACGCAGATTTAATCAGCACTTTGCAGCAGATTCCACTCAGCTGTGTCATCATAGTGAGTGAATTATGTAGGCACGATGCGTAAAGAAAAACAACACAGCAAAAATATAGAAATAAATGAAGAATGAAATGACAATAGCACGTTATGCTTCAAATCTGCTACATTTTTTGAGCAAGTCCTGCTTGATTGATGCAATAATATTTGCATCGCGGCATGACATATTTATATTCTTTTGTTTTTCTGTTTTTCTGTCGACACTAGTTGAAATAACAGATTATGTTTGAATGCTGGCTACATTGTACTGGCGTAATGTGTTATTGCAGACTTTGCAAAATATGCTCACTCAGTCTTGGTTATCTGGGTGTGTATACATGTGGATTGACTTGGACCAAAGTCACTTACCAGATTCTGACAATAATCAGGATAACAAAAGAAGGCCGAAACGCGTTTGCTCAAAAAACACAGGATAATCACGGTTACGAAGAGGCTGCGAATTATTGTCTCGCGCATGTTTTAGGTTTTAGGTTATCTCTTGTTGCTTGACAATAATACACGACATTCGAGTCTACACGATAGTGATCTCAACATGTCACGGTGATTGATTTTCAAAACACCGATGACATTACACGCGGGACTTACATGACCTTTTCGTGGATCGAAACATAACACGTACAACGCGGACATAAAACTAAAACAGTATCGATGCTTGTTTCTATCATGAGGTCAATTTACGCGTTAAAACGCAAGAGAAAGTCGTTCTCTACTGGAAACGACAGGTACTGCTTACATCGCATTGCGTTGGTAAAAACGATTTCTATTCAGACAGAAAATGTCTGCCTTCCAACTCGGAAATAAATTATTACACATTTATATTAAATACGTATACATATATATTAAACAAATAAAATATATAATATAAAAAGAAAACTATTTCTCTTTCTGAAAACGTCTCGATTTATCGCAAATGTACAAACTTTAGAAAGTATTTTTTTTTATCAAAAAGAAGTTTTTAATATGAATTTTAAATTGCAGCACGAACATTTTTAAGAAAGAGATATGCGATAAGATAAAGAATAAAAGTATTGCATTAGTAATTAAAAAATACAAGAATTAAATGTTAAAAACGTACTATATGCGCATTATGTTTTATTTTACAAATAATTGCAGATAGACCAAAATACATTACAGTCATGTTAGAGAGAAATACTAGCAATTATTAAAATAACAGACAACAATAATTTGAACAATTTAATAAATGTTTTTATGCAGAGAGATATGTATCATATACTCATATATGTATACATAGGATGACATACATTTATTCTTTTATCGCAAATTGTTACTTTAATAAACATATATTGCTTATAGAATTATGAAATATATATGTGTGCTATGTAAATTATCCTTTTGTTAAATCAAGTTTTTTTCCATTGTGATGTGATTAAAGTATGACAATTCAATAGATATCTTCAGATAAGCTCACGTGATCCTAATCAAATACAATTATTTCAGAATAGTGTATACATTGCGTGTATACATACAATATATCGCGTTTTTTTATTTATCTAGCATACCTTTGTCACATCGCATTGGACGCGAGAGCCGACGTGAGAGAGCAGGAGATGGACGCGATTAAAAGTTCTTTGCACTCGCGATAATATTTTTCTCGCGCGTGATGTTTTGCCGATGTGGCGAATTTATAATCAGTCCCATCTGCACGCACCAGATAATTTTGCAATTTTGCGCGATATGAAAGGAGTTTATTGACGTCCGCGAGGAGAGAGAAAGATTCGCAGCACGCGCACGATGTTTCCTTTACACTTGAAAATACCAGTAGCATCAATAACACGTAATTTAAAAGGCTCTTGATGGCGCAGCAAACTAGTGAAAGGGAAATTAAATCGGTGAAAAGAAAAATACTTCTCTTCTCGCCCTTTCACTTTTTCATCAAAATATAATCTTTTTTTTTCTTGAAAATGGCACTAGTAGATAATAACTCTAACGATCTAAACATGCTTAAGTGAAACAGAAAAAAAATTATATATTAGTAAGTATCAAAGAAAAATCTTTCATTTATCTTGACGTGACGATCGGAGACATGTTAAAAATAAACACATACTGATTAAGTCGCTCTGATCGACTTATCGTCGAGATCGAAATGTTTCCGCAAACCTTGCCAGCATTCGTAGTAGCTGTCGTCTAGCTTGTTACAGAGCTTACTGGCCCATTCTGTCACGGCCATGCTGTACGAGGTCTCGAACATAAACGCTTGTGTATCATCGGCGATCCGTTCTGGTGTCAGCTGACGTGTCGACGCAGTCTCGAAGCACTGTTTGTCGGGACCGTGCGGAGTCATGACTGAGTGTAACGAAGCACCACCGACAATAAAATCTTCTTCCTTTGCCTCATAACGACCTTTTATCAATCCCATAAACTCGCTCATGCAGTTTCCTGAAAATCAAAGACACAACGCGAGTGTTTGAATCAAATAAAATTTAATGCAGATGCTGTGTAAGTAATAAATATAGCATAGATTTAAATAAATTTTACATAATGTTGAAAAAAACTGTCGAGTTGTTACAGTCCTTTTTGAGCGCAAATTACCTTAAATTAGCTAATCGATTTTTTAAAAAGTCACTATGGAATCGTCGTTGCGACAATTATGCAGATTAACTTGCAAACTACTTCTTGTCAGAAAAAAAAAAAAACTAATTGCGAAATCGTTCGATATTTAGCCTATTTGAACTTCAAGTTAAGTCAATAAACAATTTTATCTTCGATAAATACTGATTACGATTTATTTCCATAAATATCGATATTCGATAGAAATTCTTACAATCGTATCTCAAAATGTTGACAGGGGTTAACGAATAATGTAATTTACATCTAGCAGTGGACTAGCGTAGCTTTTCATCATTGGCTGATTTATTGACAAACTGGCATGCGAAACGAGTGCGTAACGCATCACGTCGCTATATCCAACACACATAGGTATAATAACAACACACATGCATATCTAGAAAACGATAGATTCTACGCAATGGAAATTCCGTCCGTTTTTGCATATTATCGCTCTCTACGCACTGCCAACTTATTCATTATTATGGAAAATAGCTCGCACATTAGCCGCTATACCGGTTATCAAATCTCGGAGAAAGCAATCTACTCTTACTGACGCTCGAGTATATTTTGATGTAGTGTATTTTTTTTTTAAAAACGTACGTACAGCGGTTTCAATACAAAAAATAAAAAAACAAATCTTATATAGATATCAGCGTAAAAGTACGTGTTACGCGAAAAAAAAGTGAAAAGTCAATCGAAACAAATGTCTCGAGATAATTCATTATTTTCGGTCTTTATCGATTTCACGATAATTATCGATTAAATATATGCCAATCGCCATTTTAATGATCACACACAAGCTCGGTCATATTTAACGCTTTCGATGTCTCGCCAAAGACAAAATGAGTGATAATTATTGTTTCTGTTTATTTATAGTAGCTATCAAGCGAAGAGCGTCGTCGTGTCGGTTTTAAGTGAAATTCCCGATAATTAAACTTGACGATTGAAAAATATGCGTTTCAGCGTGTCACAGTTACCTCGATCGATCCTATAATCTCGCACGCACGCAATTTCCACACAACGGGACGGATATTCAGGACTGCAATATAAATGGCCGTTCTTCTCTCGTTGGCTTCCAATTGCTTAACTCGTAAGGATGCGTTTTTGTCGATAGGCATCGTGCGCGCCTACGCGTTTCTTTCTCTTTGCACGCAACGAACTTTCTCAACAAGAGCGCAATAACGCATCGGCGAAACACAACAACGAAGACGATGAAAACGACCGCGAGATATCGATCGAAAGTGGCCCCGTCCCGTCGGATTCGTAATTGATCGAGATCGTCGCTATAGGAAATCGGTGAAACGACCTACAACGTCGTGATAAAGAAGGACATCGCGCGATCGGTCGTTGGGAAAAATTTCGAGTTTTCTCCGCGTCAGCTTGGTTGCACAATTTTCAGGAGCGCTCTTCCGGAACGAAGACGCCACCGAGTCGAGCGAACCCAAACTCTTGCCGCGTATAATCGACCCCCTCATGAGAGGAAAAAAAATAGTCGGAGATTTAGCAATTTCTCAAGTAGTAGTTCGTACTCGACGAACATGTTGCGAACTAACGACATAATTGCTTGATTATCCACGTGCAAGTGATTACTCGAAAAATATATTTATTTTCTATATTTTTGTGGCTCAAGAAACTCTATGAGTTTCACACATTTTTCTTATTAAGTGATAATTTATATGTCAGAAATTTTGGCATTAACATATTGTTTCAAAAAAGTCCGTTAAACATCATTAGAACGCAGTAATGATTACTTTTAATTAACGCTAATGATAATTCGCTTAAATGAAATGCACTGGCGCGTGTACGAGCGCAAAAGAATGTACTTTCTACTTACGATGATAATAAGGGGGTCGGAAAGTGTGTTCCTGCACGGACCATCGGGGTGGAAAGATCACGAAGTCGGCCGCTGCGGTTCCAGGTTTGTTAGTCGGGCAAGTTAGCACGGTAAAGATGGACGGATCCTGCGGAATTAATTATTATCCCAAAAGTCTTATATAAAATCAAATTCGCAAAATTCGATTCGGTGGTACGAGATATACTTTCTTTTGCAACGTATATTTATCAAGCACAATAACAATTTTATATGTTTAAAAATGAAAAAAAATGTCTCGACGAAAATAATATATTCAATTATTAACAAATATTTTATTTTACAGATGTGTTTTATTTTATGTTTTTAGCAAAACATGTTTTTAATTTGTAATTGCGTACCTTGTTTACTTCTTTAGACATTCATACACAAAGATGTTTACTCACGCAGTGATCAAAGGACACCGAGTTGATGACCATGAATTTGTCGAGATTATATTTGTAAGGTACGTAATTTCCGTGCCATGCGACCACATCGAAGGGACTGTGACCTTGATCAGCGACAAACAGCTTTCCCTGATATTTGCATACGATCTCATAATTGATCTCGCGATCCTCGTACCAAGCCACCGGTGTCTGAAAGTCTCTCGGACTCGCGAGGCCGTTCGCACCTGTGCATTAGTCCCGCTCGTTAAACGCGCTTATTGAAGAAACATTAGTTTTATCGAGTAGAAGAAATTTTTTTCAAGTAGAAAAGATTTTAGTTATTTAAAATCAACGTGGAAAGAGTATTCGCGTCAAGTATTTTTTGTCCGAGAAAAATGCTTTGTTTTAAAAGTGAAATCTAGCTGAAAACTTTGACCGTTAGAGTATTAACACATTGAAAACACATTGAAATCGCATTAAGTATATCTCAGATATTTATAAAAAAAAAGATATGTAAATTTTGAACAGACGACTACCTATCGGTCCTAATTCAGGCAACTGGAAATGATTGTCGTAGACCTCGAGAATGTAACCTCTGGACGGACCAAAAACCGTGACGGAGAATCGCATTCCCTGCTGAATCACGCATATCTCATTTGGCTCGCATCGCATTTTGCCAAACTCCGTAGCGATCTGCAGAACGCCAAGTTGTGGCACTGCAATCGCAACAATTAGGAAAAAAACATCCTTTTTCAAAATCGCATAAATAAAACTCGCATAACTCGATATTATCACCCACCGATGAGAAAATCGCCATCAGCGTTGTAAAAGGCTTTGTCTTTCATGGAAGCGTTGCATAAATACACGTGCACGGCAACACCCTGACGCATTTTAGGATCGCCCGCACCGCACAAAGTGTGAAGACCATCGACAAAATTAATCTCAGGATCTCGTCGAGACGGCACGTCGAACGATTTCCATCTTAGCTGAAGCGTGTATTTCAAATAAGTTGATCCGATGTTTCGATAGATATGACGCAGTAAAAGTATAAGTATGGATTTTTTTTTTGAGAACTTGAAAACTCAATTAAAAAGAATCCCGCACTGCTACTTCGGAAAAGTGTCTTTCTGCGGATTTGGCTAAGATTTTGGACATGTTGTAGGTATAATAATAGTTCTCGTTATTCTGAAAAAATGTCTCAATGAGCACAATTTACTACTTGTAGCGCGAAAACGAATCATATGATCAAATTGTGCCCATTGAGACATTTTGCAGGATTCTTTGAGAAAATTCAGAAAAAATCGAATTTAAATAATTTTTTTTATCAGAAAAAAACATTATTGTATATATTAAAATTCTGGAATATTCGAATTATAAGAATTCTCACCTGATTGGGATTGGGATATGTACTGTTCCAGTCATTTGTTAGATAACAGTCGGATTTTATAAACGGTTTGAACGGTTTGTGAACGACGGATGGTCTTATCCGATAGAGCCACGATCTTTTATTGTGACTTCGCGGAACTGAGAAATAAAAATAAGCAATATTTCAAAAGCAACAATCTTAAGAGAGATTTGACAGAACACCGTCAAAAATGCAGAAAAGATTAAACAAAAAAAGCGACTTTACTCACCGGTAAACGCTGTTCCCGATAATTGCTCGGCATAAAGTCCATATAGACACTTCTGCGGATTATTCTGTCCGACAGGCAATGCTCCTGGACAGCGCTCATCCTCGCTAGAGAACTCGCAGCCGAATCCCGTAAGATACTAACGAACACAATACGAAAAGATCAAAAGCGATGTCGTTTTTTTTTTTAATAGAACATAATATTATTTTTTTTCTCATTGAATTAACACATCAGCATGCAATACTGAGTTTTTCTCGATTTTGGCAACTTCCTCTGCTTACAATCTTTAGGTGGAAAATATTTTTAAGTCACAATACTCTTAAATGATCAAAAAAATTATATTTTATAAACCAGCCAAATTGATTTATAAAGTAAAATTAAAGGAATTTTACATAGTAAATTTTTCCTTCGAAAAAATCGAACTGTAATACAAATTTACACAATTTTCAGTTACCTTTAATTCGTCTTTCATTCCGACAGCGATTCTTCTCTCTGGGGGCGCGGTGTTTCTTTCCTTGTCGTGAAATACAAAGATTTCCACGGTATTCATCCGTTATATACAATGTGGTCGTCCTTAGACTAGGCAACGACGACCAGATCGACATTATACAAAAAACATGTTTACTTTCCTGCCGACCAATCGGACGCAACTATTCACGTGGGCATGACTCCGTTAACAGGCACGGCAACTTCTGATAACCAGTCAGAGAACAGAATTTTCATATTATGCCACAAAATTTATTGCCGAGCCTCTTTCGATCGAGACGAGCCTCTTGCAGCTCGGTTCATTGAATATATCACACATACATAACTTGTATTTAAATTTATCATTAACATTGCAAAGTAGATTTTTATTGGACTTTCGTCCCGAAAGTCTATGTCGTTGTTATTTCTCACATATTTGTGGATAGAGCATCAATTAACATATGATACCGTATATATTTCTAATATACAATAATGTTTTTAGTTACATAGCACTTTTAAAAACAAAATAATGAAAATAATGACATAAATTCTTATAATGAGTTTTTTTTTAATAATATCTGTTGCATATTGATTAGATGTTCTATTTCTATTATGTTTACTGGAAACATTAGCAATGTTTTTTGTATTCAATTAAACATGTTGTCGATTGCTTATGTCGTCATTTCGAAATTTACAAACTCGTTCTGTTTACTACTTTCAATGAAGTATCGAAGTGTACATAATTTTTTTTATTAAGTTATCATTAATATAATAATTCAAAAACTTTTTCTATTTAAATTTTTAAATAAAAACTTTCTATTTTTCTAATTAAATTATTTATAACATACTTCGCGCCATAATCGTTATGACGTCTTTGCTCAATCTTGTATTTTTTTTTTTACCATTGCAAGTTTATAATTTATCTTGTAGTTTTCGATAACAAACATACATTATCGGTAATAAACATGCAATGCGTATGTTTTTTTTTTAATATATACGTTTTCATCAAAAGATTCCGTGTTTTTTTTATCTAATCGTTTTCACTTTGCTTGTCGGTTATCGTGCAAAAAGTTCGTTGACTGCGAGAAAGTTTTGCGTTACGCCTTTCCACACCTTTGGTGTATATAATTACATAGGTTTTTTTATCAATTGTGATTACAACAAAGATTGTATCATTGCAATTCGGATAGCTCTAAAGGATTAACTGCAAAGCAAGCTAATTAAACTTACAGACATTTTTATAAAATAACTTGTAATTGTTTTTTTATTTTTTTAATACCGATAATATTATAATTATAGATACATTTGTATAGTGCTATTTTATTTCTAAGTAGTAAACAATAGACAATGTTTTTTTTAATTAAAAGTTTAGATTGAAGAAAAAGCATGAATGTGTTGCAGAAAATAATACATATAAACAAGATATTTACTATGTAATTGCGTCCCATATTCTCGAACTTTCACCGTGCAGTGGATCAGTCATTTACTAACTTAATGACGAGCCAATCACGTTTGTCACGATCGATACGTTTCTCTCGCGCGAGTTTTTAAGTTTTAACAGTATCGGCGGAATGTTTTTTTTGCACATCAATCGCGATATAATGATTATACGTGCGAGCGGGAACTGGAAATCACCGCGAGCATAATTAAAGTGCACACGGCGAATTTGCATATAATCACGTGTTGTTTTCATGAGTGACAGTCACTCAGAGAAAAAAACACAAAAAGTAACTACTTGCAATTTTTGCAGTTATTGATAATTTTACGAGTCGCATTTTGGTCTTGCGCATAGTGGTCCACAATCCGGAATGATCAAAATTCGAAAAATTAATTTTGAATGTTTGAAAATGTTATTGTTTCGAAAATATGTTTTTCACCTCACTTGTGTCCATTACAGCTCGTTTTTAAAGATCAGTAATTGAACACCGAATCCTAGACCATCGTCTTTTCAACTCTGTAATAAGACTGCAGTTTCTGCGCGAGAACACGTTTAGTCAACAGTAAAGAATTAGTCGATGATATTAAACAATACGTAAAGCAACAGAGCGTAACTTACGAGCTCACGTCTCAGCAAAACAAATAGAACAACTTGAAAAATGTGTAATAGTAGAACGAATAGTAGAACGATTCCTACATTATAGATATCTCCTGTTGAAAAACATACATTATGAGACTTAATTTACATGTTACAATTTTTTATATCTTGTTAATAGAATTTGCGCAATTTATCTATATATATTTTTTTATTAATTGCGGTATTTTATTACATATGTTATTACATATTTAGAACTTATATAATGTGTGCTTGAAGACACGTTTTTCAAAATTTGCTGACAATCTATGGCGCGGAATGAATGTTCGTTAAATACTTATCTAGATTTATACGAATTAAATTTGTCATTAGATTTTATCGTGTTTTTTTTAAATAAATATAACTGTACGCGGAAAGTGACAGAAAGCTCTTATAAGTTGCGCAACACCGCTCCAACTAGTTTGCAAATTGACAAAAAATCAAAGTGACAGATTTTTCTAACAGCGGCTGTGGAAGTATGTATCTGGGAGTGTCGTGTACATATTCGCGCCGATGTCAGTTCGAAACCTTTCGATCCAGTTTCGTTTCGCTCGTGGAAAGACGGAATTGTCGAAATATAACACTTTTATGCTGAATTTTACATATGATTTATCAACGTTACGCGTTTAGTAGTTTTTATTTATTAGTTCTGTCATAATTAAACCAGTAATTTTGACATTTTGTTGGATTTTAACGTAAAAAATGTGAAAAGATAAAATTCTGCAATTTCTTGCGTTAAATGGAGCAGTAAAAATTATGCTCGACGAGTTTTACTTCCGTGTGTTAATATAATAATAAACAGTAAATTAGTTTTTCTCTTAAATTTAATCTACGAGCAGATAATATCACATTATTGAAGTGAACCTATTTCTTAGTAAATTTAATGATATTAGATGTAAGATAAATAATTCAAGTGTTTCTAAACAGTTAAAAAATTCATTTAAAATCAGTTTGCTCGCTCTTTTGCGATTATATGGCGTTGATATATAGCTATTAAAAGTTACATTTAATTTGGCGGAAATCCAAGCGTATTCAGTTCCGTTATAAATTTTATGCGCAAGTTTTAAAATTTTTTGTTCTTAGACTGTTACTCATATATCGTTTAAATAACGGGAAGAGAAAGGTAAATGAAGTAAGTCACGATTTAAACAAAAAAAAAGTGGTTCTCAAAAAAAAACAAAAAAATCCACATGAAAATTTATAGCTTTTTCTCTGTACGAGATATAAAATTGCTTAATCTTCTAATGAGTAAGAACTATGCGCACGAAGATTACGCGATAATCTCTTTCTAAATCTATACGTTCACATAAATGTTTATATTGTCACGGAGATTGTCATTGTTCGTAAGCGAGCGAGACTCGTAGTGACACCTGCGACAACTTGACGCTAACAGAAGAGAATTATCGTCTTTACAGTTAGTAGATGTAGTGGGATTAGCCGAAGAGAAGATGAGACATCAAGAAGCATGGTGGGAGATGATAAAGAGGTACGGATAGGAAAAAGCGGTGCCACCTCGCGGCGCCGACTATTTCTCTTTTCCATCTTCTTGCTCGAGAGGAGACTTCCTTTTGCATCTTCGGAGAGAGAACTAACGGGGAATGCAGATATGCGGCTGGAGCAAAAAAAAATCTCGATCCTGTACACGCTTTCTAGGTCGCGCTTACTTTTCAAGAAGGCGCGCGTCTTTCTCAAATGTGAATAATATTAAATTGTGGATATCATTTACGCTTTGCTTTTACGTTAAAATAATACTTCCGGTACGCATGAGCGAAAATTTTAAAGAAAATACTATTCACACTATCAATAAACATATAAACATAATGTTCAAACATTTTTGTAGAAAATAACGGAAGAATTTTCAGATATTTATTATTAGATGAAAATAATTTCGAAAAGAAATCCTTTCAGAGAAGTTACGCGAAGATCATTGACTTAGATATGATTTTTATAAAGATCATTTACACAAATATAATTTTACAAAGATTCACAAAGAGTTTTCTATAAAACTAACCTTTTTTTTTTTTTTTTCACGAGAACCAGTCTGCATCCTTAAAGATCGCAGCAAATTGGAGCGTGGAGGAGTAAAAGCCGCAGGATGCGACGGAAGCGGGAGTAGAGCAGAGCGAGGAAAGGCAAAAGGACAAGATTTCCGAGAAAAGTCTCCAGTGAAGACGGGCTCCATATCCCCTACCTCGGCGGACGAGAGAACAGGTGGGCTCTTGACGATCTACTCGAGAGCTGCGAGAGAGTCCCGGTCCGTCGCCTCCTGCGCTCGCACCGGAGGCAACACACGCACCGGCTTCTCCGGGAGAGAGAGACTCGCGAGTTCGTTGGCCGACCGTCACCCGCGCGTGTTTCCCCGATCGCGCGATGATCGTTAGCTCGCTGTTCGTCGAAGGCGGGTGTGAATTCTGACAGCCTGTTCGCGAAAAGGGCAATCAGGGTGGTCGAGCAATTTCGGGTGCGGTTTGATTCGCTTTGCCACACCGAGTGAAGGAAAATCCGCGCCACATCGGGGAGATACCAGTACGAGAAATCGACCCGCGTCACCAGCCAGCCGGGCAGGTGCTAACTCGCGCGTGACTCCGGTGTTAGCTCCGGAGTTATAGTCGCGCGCCCGCTCACGCTGACCGGACGTGTTTGCCGAGCTGGCCAAAGTTAGTGAGAAACAGCACCGTGTGACAGTAGAAACTTTCAGAAGTTTTGAAAATTTAATTCCGAATCACACAATCTCAAAGACCGGATCCTCGCTGGAAATATTAAAAGAAATTGAAAATTTACTTGAGGAAGAAAGTTGGAAACGCGCGTTTTTGTAGAAGCTCGTGAATATTTTTTGTAAACTAATTGGAAGGATAGCCCTGCAAAGTTTTCTTAAAAGCGTGAGTAAGATTAAAAGTGACTTCGTAAGCTTGGCAAATTTTCATTTGGATACTTAAAAAAAATTAGGTGTTACTTCTCAGAAGATACTGAATATTTTTGTTTGAAGAAAAAACTAATGTAAAATTATAGTGATGACACATACATATATATATATATATATACACACACTTGAAAAATTTCTGTACATATATTGAGATGTTGAGAGCGCATTTCGTTTTGTTTAGAAATTTTAAAAACTTAAAGAACACAGGATTGAAAGTGATTACTAAATAAATAATTCTAAGAGAAGAATTTTTTGAGAGAGAATTCTTTTAAGATTTGTCGACGTTAAAGAATTTTGAAAATTTATCTGGAGCGCGAGAGGAAGATCGAGACCAACGAAGAGCGGAAGTACCGTTGTCTCCGGTTGTTCTGGGGACTTGCGGATGAACGGCCTTGACGGCGCGAGTCTGGTTTGAACTGGGACAGCGGAGCGTGCGTTCCGATAGATGGACGGGAAGATTCAGCAAAGTGTTTTTCTTCTTCTTCTTCTTCTTCTTCTTCCTCCTCTACTGGATCGAACTTCCTCAAGCAACGAACGAGCGACCTGGGATTTTTGATTTCCAGCATTACGCAGCGGTGAAATCCGGTTTTGCATGGGTGTATATGTAAGTGAACCGTAATCCACAAGTACCGTAATGTCGTGAGCATTATCTCCCGAGAGGCAACGTTTGGCGTTGATGAAACTTTCTTCATGGTCTGATACAATTTCGAAATAACACATGCTACATATCTGATTATTTTACGCTAAACAAACTTATGTAAATGAAAATATTTTGTAGAATAATGTTTTTTATTTGTGTTTTTTATGTTTTTTTGCTAAATATAGTTTTTAGATTTAATTATTTAAATAAATACCGACGCAAAAAGATCAATTAACAAAATTTATATACTTCCGAGTTTGGAACTTGAAATTTGAGCTCTAACGCTCTGACGTCAAATCTTTAAAAAAAAAAACGCGAAAATCAGGCGTAAAATCAACTCGTTGTAACGGATAACCACATTTTCTATCCGTGCAATCCGGTTTTGTGTGCAAATCTATTAGCTGCCACTTTTCACTTGTAACGAGCGGCGCGAATGTTCATGCGCGTAATAGGAATTACTTCGACGCAATTGATTCGCGCGTTAGAAGTTAAAATAAAAATACTATAAAGTTTACATACAAAATCGTTACAGTCTATACGAATAATAAACTTTTTGTGTGATATATGTGATTAATGTAATTTAATTCAAATACTTTGACACGCACATATATTTTTCCTTGCAAACTTAATCGACATATGCGATTTAGATTTTTGCCGATATTAATTTTACTCAAAGCTTAGACAGTTCTATATTGTGAAATTTTCTGTGAGAAAAAAATCTACTGCGTGTCAAGCACTTTTCTGCGTTGCAAACCGTTTGAAGTATCTGAAAATTATTTTTGACGAATCGTATGTGTGTGTAAGTGAGCAGCAAATCTTGTTGTCAAAGAGTTATCTTTATAAAAAGCGCAGTCACATGATTTTTTTTGCTGTCACGTTTGACTGATTAGCACTATGTCATGTATTATTCATTTGTCGTGAATGAAATTGGAATCGCGCGGCCTTGCGCGGGTCAGTTCATGTCGAGACTCCGATCTATCTTGTCGCTTTTAAACGCGTCAAATGAATTACGTCTGCCACGATAAGAAAGACTACGATGCACTTTATGACCGATAAAGCGACGAAGGTCAATGCAGTTTCGTGGAGTCGTACGTATTCGCGCTGTGTTTAATAAACAAAGAGTAATAAACATATTGCGAGTCAAAAGATAACGTACGATACAGAGACAAATATTATTGTTATTATTTGAGTAAATAACAACTGCTATTTTTTACACACACAGAATTATTCTTTTTATTATTTTTATTTTACTTGTCTTACGTTTCTATGAAGAAGACTGCATGCGAATGCAGTCATATCGGAGTTTTTATTGTTACATTTTCAAGTGAAATTAAAAGAGTGAAGGTTTTGTCGACTTTCTCAAGACCCGATACGTTTGATTCAGTGCGTGTCTAAAAATCAGCGATCCGTCAATAAAAAGGTAACAACTATAAATTTCGTGGCTTTCTATCGTTCGTCATCGCAATCGTACAAACTTATCCTATTTCTCTATCGACAATTTACGGTACATATGGAAAACAACATATGGATAAGAAAACTGCCGTTTAGTCGTAAGAGCAAGAAACGCGTCAAAAACGTTACCGGCAATTACGATGAGCAATGAACCAACTATTAAAACAGCACTCCAACCGCAACTTAACTGACGTCGAGAGGAGATCTTCGCGTGACCGCACGTCAATATATGAGGGATTTATTACCGCAATTTTCTGACATCTTATTACTCTAATGATGAAGCAAAGATATTCGCGAGAGAGTTCAAATTTCTTATTTCATACGCGCGATTGAAATTGTTATTTTTAGATCTTTCTCCTAAAAAAAATTTCCGCATTGCGCGTGCAAATAAATTTATTTTTTTTTTTTTCATCTGACGTCCTTCACCCGGTTAGGCGAAAAGCGTGTCGTTGGCGCGTAACGCAACGGGAAACGCTACGTTACGGGGAAAGGACTCGCGTGGACGAACAGTTTTTCCTGGATAGCGCTCATCACGAACTGACGACAGTCGCGCGATTATTTGTCACAGTTTCTGTCGTAGCAAACATTTTCATTATTTTTGCACAGATGGAAATTTTCTCTCGTCTCGCGAAACGGCTTGTTCGAGAAACCGTACGCGAACGTGTAACAAGCTGTGTGATAAATAACAATATTCACATTTTAAAAAGCCAATTAAGAAAATGCAAAGCTAAATAATTAGATTAAATATTAAAAAAAAAAAAACAAATCTTATCCACTCTCTTTTAAAAGAGAATTTTTGAAATCAAATTTCGAATACAAGTACATTTGTATGATTGACGGGAATTGGTAAGATCTCACAAGTGGCTGATTAATCCGCTTTTAGAGATCTCGTACGAAAACGATTTTCTCTTCTCGGATCAGAGAAATTAGAATATACAGTTCAATCGGAAATTAGAATATACGGTCATCTAAAGATCACTTTCTCGCGTCGCTAAGCAAATAATATAAGATTTGTCATATTTATCTCAACGCCGTAGAAATGGATTTCGTCTTACGCGATCGCGCGCTCTTCTTATTCGTTTCCGTCTTTCGTCACGCGACCTAATTACACCACAAGTTAAGCACATCGTGTATAATTTACATAACAACGTAAGTACAGTAGATAAGTATCCGCAACGTTAGGAGAAATGTTTGGCAAAAAAAATTGACTCAAAGAGAAATTAATATCTTGAGTATTTTTTTTCTTTTTTATATAAATTCATATCCCTATGTATGCACATAATAAAAGCAATTTAATATAATATGCAAATAATGTAAAAACAAAAAATATTTTCATTCTTTTATCATTGTAACGATAATTAATCACGAAATACCGGAACAAAATGAGAAAATAAATTACTCGTCTAATAGATATTTTACTTAGTTTGTCATAAATATAATTACAAAAAATAAATCAATATTACGATTACGAAGTAAATTATGTGCCTCGCACTAAAAAATGTTTTAGAACATATATATATCTAGTTTCGATATCATCGGCTTACAATCAACGAACTCTCGCGGCATATCGACACGCAGGTTTCACCTCGATGAAACGAGAGCGACTGGGAAACGGCTCTGCGCGATATACACGGAATCGCGCGGAAAGGGAGTTATGAGCTCGGCGGCTTACGGTATCTAATTAGCGCGTCAGTGGAGCTGCTGGTTTAACGAAACGCCATAAAGTACTTAATCCGGCTCGCTGCCCGGCGATGTACGAGAGTAAAATTGTTTTCCGCGAGAATCCCGCATAAATCCTATTTCGTTTTTTTTTTCTTTTGTTCTTCATTGATTGAGGTGGCGACGTTCGTTGGTGTTTCGCGCAAATCGTTGCGATCGATCCGCGCTGCTTGATTTTTGTCACGTTGTAACAAATTATGGAAGTAGATAACATGTTTTTTTTTTTATGGATATTACATCGCAGTAATTAATTTACGTTTTCTTTTCGCAACCAATCTATATCAAGCATATCGCTTCTATAAAATCATAGCGTGTATTGAGACGCTCATATTGTTGCATGTTTTTTTTTTTAAATTTCAGCGAAGCAACAAATCGTCCGTCTTGACTCGATGTGAAAATCACATAGGAATATTAATTGCGCGATTCTACTTTTCTCCTTATTATGAACCACTTGCATATGCAAGGTCTCTCCAAGTAATTGCATTCTCTCGGAACAATACATGTGTAGCGACGTTCTCGCGACGCTCGCCGAATCATCGGCGTTTTTCTCTGTCTCTCTCTCTCTCTCTCTTTTCAGAGTAAACTTTTTCGTTGAACACGAACGGGGTCAGTCTCAGACTTTTGCGCAATTGCAGGTAATTGCTATTAAGCAACGGAGATTATCGCGAGTCCGCGAGTATAGTTCGACAGATGCAATCGATTACGGTGCATCGAAGAAACGAAAGAAAAAAAACCGAGAGAACAGAGAGAGAAAGGAGAGAGGAGATTAGATTTGCTATTGGTCATTGCAATGAGGAAGAGGCGATCACTTCCGCGACAAGTTTCGCGGCTGGATTGCAATCATTTCGATTTAATGGATTTGCAGCTAACGTTGTTCGTCTTAGACGAACGGTTCTAATCGGTTTTAATCGTTTTATCTCTGTTTGTATCGATATACAGCAGGAGACTGGTAAGTCACTTCCTCCTAATGTCATCCCGAAGATGGCCAGGGAACGCGCGGGGTCGGACTACTCGGGCCACATGAGCGACTCCACTACATGCAGCTGCGTCGCAAGTTCTATCGAGAAGGTGAGTTTAAAATTCTCATGTATCAGATACTTTTCACGATAAATCTTATTTTTAAGTTTAGAACTGTGTATCAAATGTATTTCTTTTCGTTTCAAGATTAAGAATTAGTTACGTATATATCAATTTCGAGAGAAGCAATATTAATACGAATTCTTACGTATTCACGTTGCAGTGCTCGTTGCGAGGCTGCGGCATGTTCCAGGAGCCGTTCTTTCTGCATCCACCAGGCTCCCGTCCGCGGGACGGTATCTACATAAATCCTATGAGCGCTTATATCGGCGAATCGCCGAAGCCCAAGGACACGACCGAGTCCTTCTACCTGCACAGCCCGCACGACCTCGTCTACACCAGAATTACGCGGCTATTTGGCGACGCGGAGAAGCCGCGAAACGGCATCGCGGCGGAGCAGCAGCGTCACGTGGCTGAGAGGAAAGACGAGACTCTGACTGGTAAAGTAGCACGTCCCAGATACTTCATTGCTATAACGCCGTGTTGCGATACACGCGGTGTTCGGAAAACATTTCAGACGTCCGTCGTCCGTCGAAAGTGAAGCGACTTTGGCAATTAATGACACATAATCAGTTAATGAGACAAAATATGTGTGAAAATTACGTTGTTATTAATTTACAAAAATGAAAACGGGTAAAACAAGAACAATCATTCTCAACGGAATTTTATCTGAAAGAAAATTATTCTATGATATTAAACACGAGTTCTAAGATATTGAAACAATATATGACGTAATTCGAGTTTAAGAAAACGTCAGTTCTGTCAGTTGAATTATTTGCAGATAAAAAATTCTGACACACTGTGTGTGTGTGTGTTATTGTCGGTTCTCGACAACTGGTTCCGAAGAACGACCTCGATTCACATTCGATGTGTTCGGCATTGCCGATCTTTCTATCTTTTCTTCGCTCATTCTTCGATACAGGATCCAATCGATCGAGATAAAGCCGAGAACAGAATCGTCGGAGTTTACACTTCTCGCAAAAAATCAATTGTTACAATAATATATTTGTTAATTGATGTTGAATTTCTCAACAAGTAAAATATTTCCACTCGCAAATCAGTTGATGAAATGCGAAAATCATCGGTAATTACGTTTTACGAAGATACTTACGAAGCACTTAAATCACAATTATCCTTTTCATTCGCTTTACTGTGCGAACGTAAAAATTTGATCGTCATTTTTACGAGTGACATATGAGTAACGTGTACGTGTAAAATTTTGAAGAGTTGCTCCTTTTCGGAAGAGAAAAAGAAAAAGAGAAAGATTACTTGGGCAATGTTGAAGACGCAAAAAAAAACTTACGTACAGCGCGAACTACACGCGAAACCAGGTTAAAGACTCGCGCGCGATTTACCGCGGATACCGTTAAGCCGTTACAGAGAAGCGGCTTTTAATGAGATAAGAATAACAAGAAACACGATCGAAACGAATTTGTTGTGGCAAATTGTGTCGTTAGCATCGTGCAATATGTACAATCATTACGTAAGAACCTCGGAACTAAATTGACAAAATTCAATTTACACAAAATTCAATTTCTTAAAAATTAAAATCGTACAAATGATCAAACTTGCACTTGTTGTCGATTAAGCAAAAATTTTAATAGCCATATAAATTACGTAAAAATTATTTTTTTCGAGAACTCGTAGAACATATCTTTTTTCTCTTTGTAATAAAAAGCATTGTTTTCTCGCGCGCGATGCGTATATTCCGAGCGAAGCTCTTTGGCTTTTAGTGAAAGTGGACGTGCACATCAACAACGGTGGATACGTCGGCCGACCGCATGCTGGCAACGGACACGCGGCCCGCTCCGAGATCGCGAGGGAGTCTTCGGAGCACGCTTACGAGCAGATCTGCGTGAGGCAGGAGGAGACGGGTAGCGTGAGCTCGTCGTCGCGCAAAAAGACCGATAATGCCTCCGACAGCAGGTAAGACGATATAAATACAATCGGCAAAAGTGAGATCGATGAAAACATTGATTTACTTCTTGTCTTGTCCGCTCTCATCAAATTGAGAAAATTCATATAATTTCTCCTCTTTAATTATACTATGTATAAAAATACTTTTCTAAAATTTGCACGAACAAAGACAGCTTATACGCGCGTGTAGATTGGTATTTCATTTCTATAACAAAGCAAATAATTTTTATATCAACCCAATTAGATGTTAATTAATGTTGTTTGATGTCACGATTCGCGTGCACGGGCGTAACAAGCTTGAGTGAGAATGGTAACTTGATGAGCGCAGCACAACAAATATTAGACACTATAAATCAAGTACAAATAATTCTGATGCAATATATCAACATGTTCGAAATGACGAGCTGCGATCGTCGTATCGACGTTATAGTCTTGAAGAAATGGTTGTTTGCGAACGACGCGTTCGTGCGAACGGACATCGGTGGTATTGCAATTTTCTGTGTCTATTTATCATCCAGACAAACAGCCGCGGGTAGATCAAACTTAATTCCCAACGATCTCTATCGTCGCTCGAGTTGACAAAAGGTCAACAGATCGTTTTTTGACGTTTTAGTCGTTCCCGAAAAACTGACAGGCGATACAGTCGGTCCAGCAGCGCCAGCGAGTCCTCGAACATGAGCAGCGAGATTCACGGCCTCTCCTCGACGACGTCTACCCCATCGTTGTCGCGGCACAGCAGCAACGAGCGCATTAACAAGTCAGGGATTAAAGTGAACGCGGAAGCCATCCACGGTACGTAAATATTTAAGAGGAAACTCACGAGATGATTGTGACATCCATTTGCAATGATAACGAATTTAAGAAACACGTGGATGTGAATTTAAATTTCGAGTAGATACGCTTTGATTGCGACAATGCGAAGTGAAAGATAACGCGTGACAATTATTTATCATATTTTTAAACAGGCAGTCTTGAGATCGCTAATTTAAATCTCGTAATATATGTAAAACGGTATTAATTGTATAGAATATTATTTCGATGTGAATATATATCGTATAATTTTTTTTGTAAACAACAATAAACATTACCGTCACTCTGCAAACTTTGAAATCTATCTTGATAACGCGAAAAAACCGTATAATTCCGTTTTGACTCGCAGAGAGGAAGGACTTGTCCGGCGCACACGTGGAAAGTGAAAAGGAGATCCGTACAAGCGGCAACGGCGGACCTAGGTAAGTAGGGCGGATCGATACCGGATCGCGAGAGACTTTATTTGCCGTCGCAAATAAAGAGAAAGAGAAACGAAAGATCGATCGAAAGTCGATCGAGCCGTTCGCTAATAGCTCGCTTTAGCGTGATCCGATTCGCTTCGCTCCTTTCCGCCATCGGGTATGCTTGTCCGTTTTGCTTCGAAATATCGAGATAGGCTTTTATTAAAAGGATGAACATTTTCTTGTCCGTTTCCGGTCGTTAGTAAACCCACAAAACGAATGTGGATAATCGCGACGGCGGCGACCCAAATCGAGCGATTTGCCTGAACGAGCAAGCGGATTATTAAAGTCGATTAAGCTTGAATAAACCACCCTTCTTTTCAAATAAAGAAATTGGTTTCGAAGCGAAATAGACATACTTCCTTCATTCTTTCGCTCAGTATAAGTCCATTGTTGTCTCATTTATCTTCATTCATTATCGCTATCTGTTGTTAGAGATTTATATCAATTACTTTAATTGAAAGAAAAGAGTTACCTTCAACAATTATCTTTACAAAGAATTGCTATTACTAGTAATCGCATTGTTTCTTTTGTTCTGTCAGATTTTTACTGTCGCCACCTATTACTTAAATGTTACTATCAATTACCATAATAACACTGCCTTCACTTGTCGTCGTAAAAATGACAAAACTTCCTTTCACCAATTGTTCAGATCTTTCATGTGATATTATATTTAGTTTCCTAACTAACAAAAAAAACCAAAGATAATCTGACACATTGAATTTGTAAGCAATATTATTATTATCGTACTGTCCGCGATAATATTTTAATTTGCTAATATATTTTTTCTTCTCTACTAATTATTCAAATAATAATTCTTACGAGCGTTACATCAGAATCGAGATTTCTGTTTTCTCTAGTCTCTCAAAACCACCGCCACCGCCGCCGCCACCACCACCAGACGACGATGTGGTAGTCGTTCTAGTAAATGCCAAGCCAAATGTGGAAATCGCGGCAATCGACAAGAAGGATGCGCGAGGAAGCGGTCAGGACGGCGGAAGGAGCGAATCCTCCGGTAAGAAATCCCGCTTTTCGAAATGTCCTCGACGTCACTTCATTCCCCTGCAAATAATCGCGAGAGAGCGTGAAAGTTGCAATTCAACTTTAAAACACGCATGCACGCGCATTCGCCTGACATTTCCTTCTCGTGTTTCATTTAAAATTAAAACGCTCACCTATCGACAGAATATCGGTTTCGAAAGATCGATAAATTATTCGCCGAATTTTCGATTGAAGTTTTGCAATAATAATAATATTTCTTTACAGAAATTAAACAGAGGTAAATTAAAAACTCTAAAGTTAAAAACTCTCTAACTCTAATTTTATCTTATTTATAACAATCGCGAAACGGATTTTCGCGCAGTTTCAAGCAAAAAGAAAGCGCTCAGTCTCACCGAAATCTCGTCTCGAGAAATCGCGTCGCGTATGAATGATCTTTACAACTTCCGGTCAGACTCGAACATGGTATAATCCTTCCTCAATATTAAAAATTTTACTTTTAATGAATCGATTTTCTCAAAAGATTCCGCACTACGCTCGCGAAATGCACCGCGGAAGTTTTTTCTCTTTGGTTAATTATCTCCGTTAATTATAGTTGTTTCTCGCTTCGAGCGAGAAAGAAGCTCAACTCGAGAAATTCATTGACAAATTTATTCAGATCTGTCAGAAAACGCAACAATTCCGTTGTAAAACCAAGCCGTAATCCATGTTGCCGTGTTTTTTTTATTGCCTCATTAATTGTCCGATTATATATATATATATATGCTTATATTTTTCGGCGCGTTCTCTTCCTTAAATTATACAATAAATATTACACGATAAATCTACGATGTATCGCCGCGATGCGGTTCGCCATCAATTATAGTTGAATTGACAATGACGATTACAGTTAGAATCGTGCGAATTAATTCACAGATAATCTGCACCGCGCAGGCCTAATTAGACCGACTCGTCTCTCGTTTCGATCCGACAACGGGCCCCGCCGATCTCGATTTGGGCTGCATGCGCGTACTTTGGTGTTTAATTAAATTGTTAGCGGATCGTGCTCACAGCGGAGGTAGCCTCACTTACTAGACCATGGCGCGCACCGGGCATATAATATACTTACCTAGATTTCACTTGCCCGTCGGTAACGACCATCATCCAAGTGCTGGAGAATATAACGAGAACCCTCTCTCACCTTATTGCTTCCTCCTTCCTCCGGCTCTTTTACTTTACCCTACCTCTCTGCTTCTTTCTCTATTGCGCTGTACGTTTTTTTTTATCTTCTCTCTTTCTCTAACGTCAACGGTCTCGGAACAGCGACCAACAAGTCCGACGTATCATCCTCCGGCGAGCATCAGCAGCAGCCGGAAGTGTCGCCTCCCGCCAGTGCACCGGCGGACGTGGACGAAATTAAATCGAGTCAGACGTCCCACCTGGTAAACAGGCACATGGTGCTGCCGTTCATACCGCCCAAGTTCGCCAACGCGGACTCCAACACCTTGCTTAAGCCTTCCGAATACTTGAAGAGTATCTGCAAGACGTCGTCCAAGAACAGTCTGTCAAAGGCGAGGTCAGTGATTCTTTCTGTTTCGTATTACGGTGTGCTTATCCCTGACTATCGCCTCGCGCGTGAGTCCCGTCGAGTGTAAAATAATCGCAGCTGTCAGTATAATGCGAGCGATATAGCGTTGGCAAACTATTTTCGCTTGTTTAAGCAAACTAAAATATTTCAAAGTGGCAAATTTAATAATTTACACTTAGTGCGCTTCAGGAAATATAAACAAAAAGAAGATAAGATATGAGAATTGTGCTGTGTGCTCTGTTCTTTTTAGTTGCTTTGAACTAGTGATCAAGGTGAGTCAAGTGTGTTCCATATTCTTCGTGGGAAGAATCAACTGAAGACAATCTTTTTAGCTATTATTTATCAAAATTTCACGTCACACGTGTTTAATTTTCTGACGTAGCGCACGAATAAATTCGAAATAACTCGCGCTCTAACAATTTTTCTACACAAATAAAACACAGATTCAAAGAAATCTTCAGAATTTATCTTATTCAAATATGATAAATTTACGTTTCTCTGAACGTAGAGCCATTTTCGAATTTTGTGCTCGCGTGACGATGCAAAAAATCGCACTCGCAGGTCAGTGGACAACTTGGACATCCAGGGTCGGAATACGGAGCAGGGCGAAGAGGAAGAAGCAAACGAAGAAGGAGAAGAAAGAGCGCGAAGAAACAGCGAGGAGGCCACAGGATCTTCTACGGGTCCTCCGCCACCACCTCTATCACCTCTGCAGCAACGCGCACGGGGAACCGGCAATCAAGGTACTAATACAGGAAACGAAACCGAAAACTTCAAGATCCCGCAACCCTTAGCAACGATCAGCATCCAGGATCTCACAAGCATTCAGTTACGACGAACCAGCACGAAGATGAACGCCACGAAGACGTTCTCCGCTCCACCTCCTCGCAGCGTGTCCATGACTAACGGTAAGTGTTAGCGAGCGACACACATACACACATAATTTAACGCCTTTGCGAACACGCTAGGATTCATATTCCAAGTTGTTGCCGTTCTGAAGAAACGAAAAAAAAAATATATAGTGCGATATTTTCTTTATATAAAAATAAAATAATTTTTTTTATAACATGTAAATGCAACATAAAAATTTGCGATAAAAATTTGTGAAATTGTTTTTATATATAATTACACTTTGCTACAAAGTTAAAATATATTATACATGAATATGCGCACGTATATATATATATTTTTTTTTTATATACACACACATATGCACATATGTGTGTCGGATAAAAGTAAAGAGATAAATTTTTACACGTAAAATTGTTTAATCTCAGTTTCAGAGCCGTTCTTCGTGCAAAAAACGGATTTGATCGCCGAATTAAAGCGCACGAAGGATATACCTGGCATCAAGAAACTGAAGGTGGAAAGAGCACAGGTCGAAAAGACTCAGGAGCAGAATCTTATGTCAGAAATTAATAAAGCGTTCAGCGTTACGAATTTTGTTGATCAAGTAAGCATTTTTATATTCTTTTCCGAAACACATTATAACGCAAAATATGTATGACTATTTAATTCTTCGATTATTGCTGAGTTTCTTTGTGAAAACTTGTACGTCTGTGATTTTCCAATATTTTTATATATATTATATTTATTATTTATATAATATTTATTTTTATGTAGATTCCGGAAAAAGACAGCTCAGGAAACGTGATACCAATTTGGAAGAGGCAGATGCTGGCCCGAAAAGCCGCGGAACGAGCGAAGAAGGAGCTTGAGGAACAAATAGCGCGAGAGAACGAAGAGAGGCGGCAGAAAGCGATTCCACCGTGGAAGCGACAACTTCTTGCCAAGAAGGATAACGAGGAAAAGAGGTAGGAGATACTTCGCATGTAGCAAGGAGGCTAAGTACTCGAATTATCGCGAGTATTACAATTGCTTCTTGTTGCAATTGACTTCAAGCTCTTCCGCTCTATCTAACGCGCCGTGTGATATTACATATACGTAAATTAAAAGATTGGTCCGTCAAACTTGATAATTCTTTTCCATTGTTTTTAAGTGAAGAGAAACACACGTGACATCAGAATGCCTTGAATTTCTATTTTTGTTTTTCCGTTATGTTAATTACAAATTATTTGCATTAATTACAAATTTATAAGTAAGTATTTAAAAAGTTACAGTCGATAGGTGAGTTATTACGGTGAATGTGCAAACACATTTATTTTTAACATGTAAATTATTGAGTTAAATATAAACCTATATATATTAATACAAAATATATTAGGTCATTAAATATGAAACTTGACAAATACATATACATATGTACAAACAATCCAAATGTAAAATGTGAGATGCAAACAACTCACATAAATAAACTTAAATAAATTAATTTGATACCTAATTCGTTTTATTCTCTTTCTATGAAAACTTCTATTGCAAAAAAGGCCATTTTGGCCAGAAATCAAACTCTCGCATTCCATGCAGATGCCAATTCGGCTATCAGGATATTAAAAAAAATTTATGATTCTTTACTTGTTTGTTATACGTTAATGTGCAAATTTTTGCGTGTAATAAGCGTTGCGTCGTAATCGATGTAATTTCAGATTAAATCAGACATCAACTTCCGTATCAGTAAGTTTGTCAACGCCTAAGTTGGAGATAACGACTCCGAATTCAAAGAGAGACGTCTCACCGGTGGCGTCGTGTATCACGAAGAAGGAAGAGAAACCCGAAACCGACGAGAAGCGAGACGATCTCGCCAAAGACGACTCCGATGACGGTCAAATTATACCTTGGCGGGCACAATTAAGAAAGACCAACAGCAAGCTCAATATCCTCGATTAATCATTAATATATATCGTGTCTTTTTTTTTTTTTTTTATTTTATTGAAAAGATACGCGCGTGATGTGTAAAAGTAAACTGCGTTTAATATAGTTGCTAAACACACGGGTTTATGTATTTATGTGATCATTCCGAAGTTAATGGAACTTATGCAATATAAAAAAATGAAGAGGAAGAAAGTATCTTTTTTTATTTAAGATATAAACGTATATGAGATGATTCACGCAAAATTACTTAAATACAAAGCATTGTTTAATACTCTCTTTTGATACACGTACTCGATATAAAATACTCTAAAATAAATAGAGAAATTAAACGGATATTTTTTTATATTACGTGTTTTCTTATACCATTGCAAAATGTCCTCACAAGTATCGTCGTAATAATTTAAATATATTCATTTTCTAAGATAACTATAAAAGATAGAAGAGTGAATAGATATACTCTACTAAAAAGTTGTGAGACGCAGGAAAGTGGATCACGCACAAATAGCTCGCTAGTGTTTCCTATAATTGGATGGAAAGTAATTTTCAAAAGCGTGTGTGTGTGTGTGTGTGTGTGAAATGTGTAATGCAAGAATTTTGCGAGGAGCGCAACTCATCATTTTTAAAGAGAAGCGGTGATAACAACTACTTTGTATAACTGCGTAAAGTTGTTACGTCTTGAAGCATGTAAAACAAACCAAATGCGATGTATGTACATACGAAATAAGTCTTATATGTTATTCCGTTTGCATTATACAATATAAAAAATAAATATATAATAATATACAATTTGAGGTATAATTTTGTCCGACCGTCACTTTTTCAAATCTGTCGTTATAATGTTAACTTTATTTTATTTTTTTTTTTCTTATTTTTTATATCAGATGGTTCGCGCAAAATTACTAAATACAAAGCATTGTTCAATACACTCTTTTAATACGTACTCGATATAAAATACTCTAAAATAAAGAGAGAAATTAAACGAATAATTTTTATATTACGTTTTTTTTTTATATTATTGCAAAATGTTCTCACAAGTATTGTCGTAATATTTCAAATATATTTATTTTCTAAGATAAAAGATAGAAGAGTGAATAGATAACTAAAAGGTTCGTGAGACCCAGGGAAGTGGATTACGCACAAATAGCTCGCTAGTGTTTCCTATGATGGAAATTTTTATTGATGGAAAATAATTTTCAAAAGCGTGTGTGTGTGTGTGGAATGTGCAATAAGAATTTTGCGAGGAGCGCATTTTTAAAGATAAGCGATGATAACAACTACTTTGTATAACTGCGTAAAAGTTGTTACGTCTTGAAGCATGTAAAACAAACCAAATGCGATGTATGTACATATGAAATAAGTCTTATATGGTATTCCGTTTGCATTATAATATAAAATATAAATATAATAATATAAAATTTGTGGTATACTTTTGTCGGACCATCACTTTTTCAAATCTGTCGTTATAATGTTAACTTTATTTTATTTTATTTTTTTATTTTTTATTCAATAGAAATACATATCATTTGAAAGTTTTTCATTATTATTAAAAAAAAGCGATATACAGAGAAATTTATTAAGAAATATGATTGAAAAAACTTAATCGCGAACTTTAGACCCTACAATTAATCGCGTCAAATAGAACATTAGCAACGTGCTAAACATGGCTGGTAGGAACCAATTACACTCATTAGAACGCAAAAGCAACAGATCAGAGGAGCAATATTCTGACGTTGATTAATCGCTACAACGTCACGATAACACCGGACGCGTTACATGTCGCTCAGACAACAATTATCTTAAGCTATTTTACGAAATGACGGAGCAGAGAATGATTACGCGAACGTGGAATTATACTAACCCCTTCTGTGGTATCGTCAGACGCGTTCACATGGAATTATCCGTAACAATTGATATGATATTCATTTGCTCTATATGTTCACTAATTAACAGCTTCTTAAATTTCATACAATCACGGCTATTGTCTCGTTGTATTATAGTAATTCAGTTAGATTAATAATAAAATTAAACAATTATTATAAATTAATTTTTTAAGAAAGAAAGAGAGAAAGAGAGAGAGAGAAAGTCAAATACAAAAACTTATGATAATTTGAGTTTAATAAATAAAGAATACTTGAAATTTTCTTAGAAATTGAAGAGATTTCTTCCCTCTTACATAATTAGTAGAAGAAAAGACAAAAATTATTAACTATTTCGATCAAAGCGATTATATTGCAAAAACAACTTCGCGTTGCGTGCTTAAACTGGAAAAAAGAACTTTCAAAGATGCCTTGTGTGTGTGTGTGTCTATATCTATATATATAAAAGTTAATTATTTTATATATATAAAAGTTAATTATTCTGATGCATAAATATTACTAAATACCGTTACCGAGTGGTAGCACATTTCTCGAAACAACAAGACATTTGGAAATTCTTCCCCTATCCGATCGATAGACAGATGATAGAGGGTAGAGGAAAAGCCGGTCACATTGATGGTGGGAGCGTCTTCTCTCCTTGATCACGGTCGAACAAAGCGCGTCATTGTACACACACAGCTTGTGACGTGCGTGGCCGTGCCCCTCTTTCTCTCCCTCTTTCCCGCTACCATCTCGTTCCTCCGTCACACGCAGGCCTTCGTTACGACACTCGTAGAACGTTACGGCGGAACGAAGCGAAACGTGAAGCGGGAGAACGGCGCAGCCCGCGGAAGACGGCGGTGGCGCAACGCTGACTCTATTGACGTGACTCCGTTTCGTCGTCTCTTCGTAGTTTTCATCTTTGGAGCAGCGCCGGTCAGCGCCGCGATTCGCCGCTAAAATTTTTGGCAACCTTTAGAACAAACATTTTAGAACTCGGCAAGCGAGTGAGCGAGTTGTGACGCTGACAAAAACGAAGAAGAGCGCAAGTTCTTCAGAACATCTCCCGGGGTTGAAAACTATTCGTGTCGAGAGAAGTATCTATCGAATAATTTTTTACATGTGAAAGTGAAAAAAAAATTAAAATTGTAAAAGAATATCGATAATAATAATTTTGTGCAAGTCTATATACTGTATAGGGAGTAATAAAGAAGTGTAATTGAAGTTAATTTTCAAAGAAGTGTGTAACATTGAAGGACAAGAGAACCGGTTGAGGTTCTTGCGCGCTCTTGTAGTGAGTGTGCCTGGCTTGTGATCATCGTATCATCAGCGGGATGGCGTCCAATCGTAGCGTGCTAGGTAAGTTGATTAATGATTCAAATATACCTATGTTAGATAAAAAACAAAATATATATTGAAATGATAATTTAAGTATTCTTATTTATACAAATTGGTTTGAAATGTGTGACAATAGGCAAGTCACACTGATATTCACACATCTGATATTCGATTTATAAAATACAAAACATTCGTATATACAGTTGTAGTTGTTGAATTTAGCGTCATTTGGTATAAGAATTTACCAAAAGGTCACATATCTGACTTAACAATCGCGTTTACTTCATACTTCTCATGTTTTGTTTGTCTCGTCTAGTATCCTTCACAATTGTAATGATGTGTGTACGTGTTTAACTTCTTTCGGGTTTCTTGCTAATATGAATAACAGTGAATATAAGTAAGCTCATTAGTTTCCTGATAATATATTTAAACTGTATGTGCGTAAATGTTTTGTAATACTACATAATTTATTTTGCACATTCTTTGTTTATCGTTAGAGTCATTTCTAACAATCTGTAAGAATACAACGCACGTACAACGTCTAATTTTTTACTTTATGTTTGTAAAAAAATTTTTTTTTATTTCTGCGAAACCTATTTTTTTAGAGAATAAATTTACAAAAACAAAGAAAATAGACTTAGCAAATAAAATTTGATTTACGCGCACATCTAAAAACCGACGGTAATAAATGCGGTTTCCTGCTGAAACCTTAATATATTCTTCATTATGGGAAGAGACACAGTGATAAATTAAGAACGCAACTGCACAGTTTAACGAGCCGGCTCTGCAAATTAAAGTAATAAAAATCACCAGCTTCCTGTAAACCATCTTATTTCATGCATTGTAGTTTCTGAAACATTAGCTCGGCAAGTAAGCTCCATTTTAACATAGAACGCATTACCGAACATGTACGCACATAAAAAAAAATATTTTCTTGTCATTTTTGTGAAAATGTGAACTATGTAAATATATTTTACTATCTATACTTATTTTTTTCAATATAACTATATTACGTGTAAAATAACAATCATTTGAAACATTGAATGTTGATTTCTATAACTTAATATTAATTTTGCAATAATAACGATGTCGTAAATTGCTGGCAAGCTGTCGTACAAACACTATATACAATAATAAGCCAGTGGCATTTATTCTTTTGAAGGATGAAACTTAACAACAACAACAATGTGAGACTACTATCTATGTTTCGAATACTTACTTAATCCTCGTATAATATAAGAGGAAAGAAAAACTAGCGCATAAATTTATAAAACTGAAGTATATATATATAAGCGTAGTTGGTTGAAAATTTTCTGAACTCTTTGATCCAAAGAAAAGAATAAATTCATATTTTACTTGTTCATAGTCCACGACGCATAAGCCTCTAATCTCTGGCCAATCGGACGACGTAAATTCATACGCGGCAAAGTTCGTAGATAATACATTAGCATCGTTGAACTCGCGTCGTGACCTGCATCGACACTTCTGAACATTAAAAATGCTAGTCATCAAACTCGGTTCCGAAGAGTACACGAATACGCTATTTTCGTGACTCTCGCGAGAACGACAAGATATACACTAAAGTATAAATAGCCCGCAAGAAAATGTGCACGAGTTCTGGGTGAAGGTCATGATAGCGCTTAATCTATTCTCGCTCTAACATAAAAGGAATAAAGAAATTCCATAGAAAAAGTGAAAGTGTTCAATTGTTAACTGCATGCGTTTTATTACGTTGCTTATAGGGTGGAGCAAAGCTAGTTGGGCCATTTTGTATTTAAACTATTGTACATCTTTACATAAGTATGAAAGACTAGTAAGAATTTTGTTTAAAAAGATAATATTTATCTAGCTCAAGAAGTAAAAACTCACAAATTCTTAAAATATTGCGTACATAAGTAAAACTATATGTTGAAAGAAAAAAAGTCAAAGAGAGAGAAAGAGAGAGAGAGTGATCCAACAAGCCTCATAGACCTATGGAATATGTTCAGTTATCTCAAGAGATAAGTTAAGATAAAAATCAATTCAATTGTCTAATAAAGATTATGTATTATTTAATAATAAATTAGATGTATTAATCTAATCTATTTATTATATGCACAATGCTGTAAACAACAGAACTAAAACCGAAAAGGCAATCTCTACAATCAGAAACAAATGAACTTTCACATGTGACCATGACTAGCCCCATATCGATGGTGGCTGAAATATTTTTTCATAACTAAAAACTTGTAAATAAAATAGCAATATGAACATTAAAGTTAAAAAATACACCAATGACTTATGTTAAAAAAATGTTCCTAGTTTTTATTAATTATTATTAATTTTATTACTTATTGCCACGTAAACAAAAAAACAGACATCTAATAATTTTACTTTTGGTTCAGAAAAACAAAAAATCGCTCATGTTCGTTCATTGACAGTCGGACGGCGTATGTAGTCTTCGTCTTCGCGCTTTCTTACGCAAGCATCAACATTTTGGTTATTGAGATATTTGCAAGTTCCAACTCTTGCCCCAATTAGCCTTGCTCTATCTTATTTCGAAAATTTACATCGACGACATTTTCATCAAATAAATCAGACGCTATTCGTCAATTGCTAATCAAAAAATATTTTTATACATTTTAACGCAATAATTGAGTACATACATACACTTATGAAGTGAATTAAATCAAACTGCAGATTGTAAAAGTATATTACGACTTGGTTCCGGTAATGCAAAATTAAACGAATTAAATTGCCTATATCTTTTCGTTATGTATTACAATTTGTCTTAAAAATTAAGATTAATTAATCTACTCGAATAAATTAGAAACTGTAATTGACTTTGATTAACAGACTTTACCGATATCTAACCCTAATATCTCTTGGTCTTCAATTAAGTTTTATGTGTCAGAAATTATGGCGCTTATTACATTTATTATCATATAAAGCGAACATATTCACAATCGGCACAAATTTAAAATACTAGAAACACTAACCCTTGAATATGTAATAAGCCAACTCTCAATTGCTGCGCGATTGGGGAGCGTAATAGTCGCAATAGCAGTTAAGTGGATAGCACGACATGTGAACTCAACCGACTCTCGATTTGCAAGTGCCTTTATTACCAACCAAGATTGGACTTTTAAATAGACACTCCTCTCTCTCTCTCTCTCTTTTTCTCTCTCTCTCAAATCATCCGAATTGCATCTACGATCTCATTCAACGCAATCCAATGTACGCAAATAGCGTAACCAATATTCTATATACTAAACTATCGAACAGCAAACAGTTAATGCGTAACAATTTCTCTACTTCAACTACTTAAGAATTACAAATATAATATTTTCATCAGTCCACATAAAACTGAACAGAGTTAAAGAGCGAATGTATTTGATTATAAGAGCAAAATAATGATAATCAACCAATGGTTTTTAACTGATTTTGTTATTACCGTCACGGATCAGTAACGATGTTTTTTCGTACAATGAGTAAAACGAAGCACGGTGTGTAATGTAATACATTATCAACGAAAGTAAAGTTTCTTCCGGGACTGTAATCACAAAATTTTAAGTTACGCGATTATCTAAGTATATTCTATAGCTAAAGAGATTATCCAGTTAATACAGCAAAGAAAGAAGATTAAGAATAAACTATTACGATAATAAACTCGTAATTAAAAATGCACACGACACGTAAATGTTTAAAATAAATAAAACTTACTTTACTTGAGCACTTTTTTTTTTTTAAATTACCTGTATACACACAGATTTAATTAATGTTGCGTTTATCTTTCAAATGCACTGATTGTCTTTATCAATTTCGAATAGAATCAGCAATAAGAATAATCAGTAATAACAATAAAAATATGATAAAAACATTTCGCAGAATTACGAAAGATACAACGCAACTATAATCAGTATTCAACTGAGATTTGCTGAAATCGGATGATTTGCATACTATTGTTTTATGGTAAGAATCTACCTGCATACGATTTTATTCGACCTTCTGCACGGTCGCGGTTACGTCAGATACAGTGGTTTCAGCCGGATTTTACATCGACATTAGCTTTACATACACACCGGTGTCATGATTGTGTGTTTAATTCTTAAATTGTAGTTGTCGAGTTTTTATTGCACGCCGCATTTATAAGTTTTTAAGAAATCTTTAATCCGCGCGCGAATTAATAATCGTTAACTTTCGTCGCGGAAGAAGAGAACACGTGTATAATCTCTGATTATGCAACGTCACTCAACTTATTTGTCGCTGTTCGGTGTTGTAACAATTAGATGCATTAAACACAAAGATGCTTAGCTAAGCAAATTGACGCACAAAGCGATGACTCTTAAACTCTATATTTTTATAACAATTTGTTATCATTTCTCGTTACTCATTTTCACTTAACATTCTGTCGAATTGAAGTCCAATTTGTGTATTAAAATTAACTTGTAATCACAATATTATATCATTATTATTATTATATCGTATTATTATATTATATTTTATAAACTTGTAATTATTATTGTATAATTATACATATGTATATATATAATTTTATGCATATTTATATATATATATATCTGCTTTATTTTTTGCAACAAACAATTCGATTTCTTGTACACGTCTAATTGTGATTATTCAATTCCATAATAGTTTTTCAGAAAAAATTCAGAAAGAGATTTATACGTTCCACAGGGGATCTGTGTATAAAACATTAGTTTGATTATACTTTTGTGATAAGCAATCTAGCGATAAATTAATCGGTCGGCTTTGCGAATATCATAGGTATTGTACAAGCTCGTTGCAAGGTGAACGATGCAAAGCAATTTAACATCGAACGGACTGTTAATATCAGAGCGACGTACAAAGAGAAATATGTTATCGTTTGTGTTGCAATTAAGCCAGCTTCGTCACGCGCGGGCTTCTCTCAGTCCATTGACGCAATATTTTTGAAGAACTTGGAGCTTTCGCTGTTCACGTGTTCTTTCTCTCACATTTGATAAAAGAAAATTTGGCCTGTTTGCGCCATTCTTGAAATAATTTTGGCGATCTGCCAATGGCAATGAGGAAGCTGACGACCGCTGGCTCATGGTCGAGGCCCGCTACTTATACATTATATATGTATACAAGTCATTAAAGCGGCATATATGAATATATGTCGTAAATTGACAATTGCGATGTCTCTAATAAATTTTTATTCCGCATATCTACATAATTCGCCGTTAGCAAACGGTCTTATATCTTTATTTGCACGAAAATTCGAAACTTTGGTGTAACAAGTGGTGTTCGATGATACAAAGTTTAAACTCGGTACGATATTTTGCTCACCAGTATCCGGGATTTCAAATGATGACCTCGCAGATGAGTCGCAGTTGTGATAACGCGACATAATAGACCGAAATACATGATCGCGTGAATCACGTGGTTATGTTATATAAAAATTGTTTATAGTACTTGAGACATGTGTGACGCAGAAACATTCTCGTCATTGTAACGTACACATTTAACTTTCTGGTTCCGAACAAACATTTGCTTCATCAATAATAATCTTATATTAGAAATCCTGAAATCGAACAATGCAGTGACAACGTGTGTACATATTGAAGTAACGTCATTTGCGTAAACGCGAGACCCATGCGAAATAAATTAATCAATAAATCAATTAATTAATAAATCAATTTTTCTGTATCTCCCGATAAAACCAAATCGTTATTTGAAATTTTTGTACATATTTTCATTCAGAAAACAACATCCTGAAAATTTTTAACTAAAACATTTATTTCAAAAATATATTATAACATAGAAAAGAAATATGTTCTAAAAGAAAATTATTCCATTATTTTTTATTTTTTTACTTCTTAAAAATGTTAAATGTTTTAAAATCAGTAAATTTCTTTTGAGTAACAATTATCATAATTTGTTTGATAAATTCTAGTAATATCGATTCGATATAATTTTACGTCCGCTTTGCTGCGCTGATTCCGCGAGCCGCGAGAGACGAATAATCGCAACTATGCTTTCAGATCGTCTGTCATGCAGACAGGTACTGAACATCATGGTCATTCTCGGATTCATGCTAAATTACATGCTGCGTGTGAATCTCACCATAGCGATCGTTTCGATGGTACTGCCGAGCAACAGCAGCGGTCAGCATTTGCATTCCAACGAATCAACGTCGGGGTCGGACGAATGCGTGTCCTGGTCAGCGACGAACGATCTCACCCCGATTGACGATGCTAGAACTTCGGCAATCGGTGTCGACGCCAATAGAGTCAACGAGACGAACAACAGCACGACGTTCCTGCTATCGTTTTCACAACGACACTGGGTTCGTTCAGACGTGTAAAGCGCCAAAATTGCGTTGTTAACAACCCCCAATAATCGCCCGCATATTGAACGTATCGTGCGAATAGTTCTCATTTAGACACTCAGCGCTTTCTATTTTTTCTCGTCTGAAATCATCACGCGAAAAATCACAATACTAGATTTATTTGTATTTTTATTTTGTTTTATTTTTATTTTGTTTGTTTTCCTACGAATATGTAATGAGACACGCAAATTTTGAAGATCTCGATTATATCTATCGAAATTGACTCACATGTGGCTTTTTGTGTCAATTTAAATGTTTCTTCTTTCGCAAGTTGGATTAATACTTAACACTCGATTTTTTTTCTATCTACTTTTTTCTAATCTTCAATTTGTTACCTCAGGAAGAGCGGGAACAGACCAAGTATCCGTGGAACGAGTACGAAGTTAATCTAATCCTCGGTAGTTTCTTTTGGGGCTACATCTGCACCGAATTGCCGGGCGGCCGACTCGCTGAAGTCATCGGCACCAAGCGAGTTTTCGGTTACAGCATGCTTGTATCGAGCCTCATTACTTTACTGACACCGCTAGCGGCCACTTTCGGTTACACTGCAGTCGCCGCGTTGAGAATCGTATTGGGATTCATGCTGGTACGTTAAATGAATTTTTTTTAATTTTGACACTTTATGTCAAATGTTACGCGTACGCAAGCTTCGTGAGAATGATGATTATCGAGCGACTCGTGAAATTCTGATGTATCTGAATCTATCGAGTGTGTCTCATTCTCTGTATGTACAGTCAATTCAGTTATACTTTCGCCATCGAGTTTCACGCACGATCATGCACGAAACGATCAAAACACAATTACTATGACAATCTCTCAAGAATCGATTCATCCCGCAAATCAGGGTGCCACCTGGCCTGCCATCCAGCCAATGACTGCTCGATGGATTCCACCGATGGAGCGTAGCAAGTTCGTCTCTAACATGATGGGTAAATTTTTCATTAACTAATCCGCCAGTATATATGTAAAGTCCGAGCGTAGTAAGGTCAAGTGTTTTTTTCTGTTCGAGAAATTTTGTGCGAAACGCGCGCGAAATGTAGTATACACGTAGGATATTAAACGCGGTTGCTGTACGGATCGCGGATGCGCGGTCTGCGATCAATCGCCTAGCTATAAATCACATCGTTATTTGCAGCCTCGTCGCTTGGTGCCGCGATAACCATGCCGATATGCGGCTTCCTCATCGCCTCGCTCGGATGGGAATCGGTATTCTATGTAACTGGCGCGATCGGCATTATGTGGAGCGTGGCATGGTTTATGCTGGTGTTTGATTCGCCGTCACAACATCCGCGCATCAGCATGGAAGAGAGACGCTACATCGAGAACTCGATTGGCACGACTTCCACCACCAAGGTAATATAATATTTTTTGCACGTAATTAGATGATTGATTGATAAATTTAAAGAAAATTTATAATTGAGAATTAATTTGAGAGAATTTATAATTTGAAAAATATTGATTTGAACTTTTCATATTGCAGCATCTGCCAGTACCTTGGCGTTCGGTTATCACCTCGAGGCCTGTTTGGGCCATTGTGGTAACGCATGCGTGCAGCGTCTTTGGTTACTTCACTGTAGTGAATCAACTACCGACTTACATGAAATATATCTTGCACTTTAATATTAAAGAAGTATGTATTATGTTATCTATAAAGTATGTTATCTATAAAACATTAGAATATTTTGACATTATAGTAAATATGCGAATATTTTTAGAACGGCCTTTTGTCTTCGCTACCTTATCTTGGCAAGTACATCTTTGCGTTATCAATGTCTATTTTAGCCGATTACCTGCGTCGCACGAATAAATTGTCCGTTACTGCAATTCGTAAAATTTTCACGACGTTCGGTAAGTTAAAAACATTTCGAGTTGTAATGTATTTCTTGTTTAAAATAACAATTTTTAATGACTCAAGTTTTTGGTATAAATATCATAGGTATCACCATTGGCAATTAAAAGCTAAATACGACTGTTAGTATATGAAATTGTGTTTTATTTTTATGATTTGAGTCTTTTTTCATAAGATCACTTTTTGCCAAATTATATTACTTATACGTCTTAACTCGTCTTCAGGATGGCAAAGTTGGTAAACAATGTGTAATACAATTTCAAAATTTTTGAAAACTAACTTCTAGCAAAAAAGAATATAAAATATCGCAAATTGACTTTATCATCGACATTGAAAAGGATCTAAAATTATTTGTCATTTAAACAAAAAACTAAAAAGTAATTTCACACACCAACAATCGCTCGGCTCAGCTGCCACTGTTATATCTATGATGTGTCTTGTTTAGTTTAAAGGCTCATCAATTTTTATTGTGATATAAACTTTATGTAAAAATTTTATTTTTTGTGTGAAATTTTATTTACAAATATCTATATATTCGTACAGTTGTTTATAAATTACACTTTTATAAAGTAACTAACTCTAAATCAAATTTAGTTTTCTCAATAATTCGCATAAGATCTGTGAACAATTTTCAAATTTTAATTTTCCAGCTGTTCTAACTCCCAGTGCTCTCATGGTGGTCCAAGCGTTTTACGGCTGCAATCGCGCGGCATCGGTCGCGATATTCACTGTTGCACTGACGATAAACGGCGGTGTGACTGCCGGTTATCTAGGAAACGGGCTCGATATCGCACCTAATTTTTCCGGGACTATATTTGGCATCGCCAACACATTCAGTTCGATAGGTGGTTTTCTGAGTAGCTTTATGGTAGGCACCATCACCTACCAGAATCAGACTTATAAGCAATGGACTATTGTTTTCTGGACTCTGGCGGCTACCTATTGTACTGGCGCACTTACGTTTGCCATTTTCGGCACGGGCGAATTGCAAAAGTGGAACAACCCGCCTACCAGCAAGACAAAAGTAAACGACATGGAAGACGGCGCCGAATCGGTTGCTCTCAAAACTAAAATGACTTCGTAGTGTTTTCAAGAAGAACACTTCAGACTGTCAACGTATATGAAATAACTGTTAATGATAAAGATGTCACTTTATCGCAACATGAAATATTCCAACGGGACAGTATTCGTTTTTCTTTCCGAATTAACAATTTTGATTGAGCCACTTTTTATTTTGACGAGTTCACAAAATATTTTAATTGTTTACTATTTAGTAAATTTTTTCGCTTAGAGAAATGGAACATATTTTTTTAATTTTTACGCACATACACAAAAACAACATGTAATTTATTTCTCATAATTCTCATTTCATAAATAGCACATATAAAAACTTTCTAAAACAAAGAAAACAAATACTTTTTTATATACGTTATCATCGAATTTAAGTACGTTCAATTTTGCCAAATTTATTTGACGATAACATAGAACGATTGACTATGTTCTTAGAATCATATTGTCTTTTTACCATTAAGAAAGACAACTGAGAGATTAAAATCCTATTAATTCGAACTGAAATTTAAGATTTGATATATAAAAATTTAGTTAAAAATAACTACTTGTTATAAAATATTTGTATAAATATACAAATATATGACTTTCAAATATCTCATTTAACTTTCTTACAAAAACCTTTGATATTTCGTATAATGTTTTGCAATAAAAATTTTTTATAAATACAATATTGATTGACTTCTACTAATAGCGCAGCATGCGGCATCTAGCGATGGATAATATAAACGAATAAGCCGAAGCGATTTTACAGACAGTAGATGTTATACTTTAGCGTTAGATGTTATACTTTTGGCACGCTTCAATTATCAAGTTATTTAATGTTTGTCACAGCTAGATGGCTATAGCTGTTCGTAACTTTATTTCCACTGTCAGAAATCGATTAATGAGCAATATTACGATTCTTGAAACAACAAAATGTTACATTTCTAAAAACAAATGAAATCGGGTAACTATTAAGTAACTTTTTGAAATCAATTTTCTAAATGTGATTTTGATTTTTATTGTTTTTCTTGTTTCTCTTCTTTTCGAAGGAAAAAACCAAGGAATCAATTCCAAAAAGTTACGTAATAACTATTCTGACGAATGAAGTGAATAGAAATCGATTTTTGTGAATAAATGTGCTATTTTAGTTTAGTATAGATGTAAATATCTCGTGTTACTTTAAAGATTCAAGACTTCATTTCTATTTTATGTATACGTTTGTGTATATGAATAAATATAATTCGATAATTATATTTGAGCTTTAAAATAAAGAGAACTATATATTTTTTCATTCTCTAAATCAAAAATAAGTTTGTTTTTTTTTGTTAACAATTTTAAATTAATTCTTCACGTCTACATTATTTTGTTCCCACGATCTTTGTTCCTTTATCGAACTTCCGGACTAACTTTGACGCAGGGTGCCCTAATGTATTGACACATTGCTGCCTGCTTCAACATCATCTCTGCCGGACGCTGTTCGACGCCGAGAAGCGTCAGCGGCGTACAGCATCGCGACGATAGATCTGAATGGAAACAGAACGGCGGCGTATCCGCGTCGCGGTGGCCGGCGTAGAGGCGCCGCGCGTTGCGGTGGTGTTCGCCGTGACGCGTGGCGCTGCGGCGCTGCGCCGATGTACCAGGGAAGCAGCTGTACGAGTAGGTCTTCTCTTCGCGCGCGCGTTTCTCATCCTTATTGTTCTTATATCAATTTCGCGCGTTCTCCGTCACTCCTGCGCTCGCCGCAGGCGTTTTATGTTTGAGTCTTCACGCTGGGACGCGCGCAGAAAAACTCGCTCTCGTTTTCTATACTTGCGTATATCTCAGAACGCACTTTAGTATAATTGGATATTTTAAATATCTTGAAAGCTAAAAGTAAAGCTTCATATCAAGGAAGACATGATACAATTAATTACTTGGCGCGCGTATCATTTTCTTCTGTCAAAAATAAAAACTTCACGAGACAAAGAATTTTATCTCTCGGATGTTAAATTACATCGATCTCTACGTGTCGATTTATCACCGTGCTCGTTTGAGAAAAACGACGACGCGCATGACGCAGCTTTTCGCGATGTGTCATCCAAGCGTGTCTGTCGGTTCCCGATATATATATGCGAGAGAACGTGTACATACGCGAAAACAACGAAAGGGAAACCCGCGCTCGGACAGCATTCGAGACGACGGAGATAAGGAGACGGAAGAGCCACGAACCGAGCGAGAGAATTCCGGGAGCCGTTATGAGGTATGACGGTAGAATCTCCGGAATTCGCGGACTGCAACCCCGAATTCAGTTGCTATGTCGCGAGCAGCGGGCGAACATGAGCGACGCGGAGCGTGAAACGCGGCTGCGACAAGCCTAACCGGTTGGCGCGCCGCGCGGGACCGCCCGCTCGGACGAGCCGCTACCGGGGAAACACGCGACCAAGGAGTTGGACGCGGAGCGCGCGCGATAGACACCGGCGTGAGCGTGAGGAGGAAGGGAGAGACAGGGAAAAGCGCGCGTGGAGGAAGAGAACGCACACGCGGCGACGCGGGGAAACCGGAGCCGCCTTGTGAGTGGGAAAGCGCGGCTACCTCCAGCCACATCATGCCGGCCTGCTCGGTTGTGATTAACTAAGGTTTAATCAGCTTTACAAGCTAAACTTCCTTTGTCGACATGCACGCGCATGATAATCCGCCGGACTATCTCGTCGTACTCGGCCAATCATTGAAAACACCTTTGGCGCGTCGAGAATCGGACTAATCTGAATGTGACGCTGTTGTATCAAACAAGAATGCCCGCCACGCCGTTCCGTACGCTCGATCCGTCTGTCTCTGTACCAAGAGGACCTTTGCGGTCGTCGTCGTCGTCTCTCCCGCTTTCGGCTCGATTCAGCTTCATACGGTCCTAATACCAAAATCGTTGTATGTGAGGCCTGCGAGGCTAAACAAGAGCGTCTAGCGTCAATATTGCCGACTGTGGCAATAATCGATAAAACCACGTCTCTGAATTAATATATTAAAACTCTCTCGCACATTACACAGATTCTACAAAAATCACACAAGTATAGAGTTGTAATTTTGCTTTGGAAGAATCTTATCTAATCTTGCTCACATAAATTATTTTTCGTTGTAACAAGAAATTTTTTGTCAGAAAATGAATGAAATTTAAGTTTAACATCAGTTACGTTGGGGTCGTATTTTCACATCTCAAACGTTGCTGATTATATGTTTAATAATTGTCAATCTATCGAACAGATCAGTATTACTTTGCAAATATAAGAGCTTTATCTTGCATTACGAACAACATGACAACCGCACGCAATACCTTCCGTTGACATTGATCTAGCGATCGGACAAGGTCGAAAGCTTCTTGCGTCGCATTGTTTCCTGATTCGTTTCTTCGCGTTCGTTTCCCTCATTTCGCCGCGCATGCGTGGAAGCAATCGATGTCCTGTTCAAGGATGTTCGTTCGCTTTTGAACGTCAGTTTATTTTTATTGTTCATTAAATGGCAAACCAAAGTGCTTCTACACCGTAGACTGACGCATACGGCGCGTAAGCACTTAAAAAAAATCTATTTCCAAAAAAAAACCTTAAAATTCTATAACATACATTTTTTGTAGCACTATAGGCCTGTTGCAAAAAATCGCGAGCAACAAATACAGGACTTTATTTACAATTAGAACAAAACAATCTTCTGGACTAATATCAATCCGCGCATAAAAGAGGCCACTCTTAGGCCTCGCCGAATTGACACAATCGGGATAACTGACATCAAATTTGCGGCCGATAGAAAAATGATAAAATTATTTTTATCTTATTTTATCTATCTATAAAAAATCTTTAGCATTGTTTAACTTACACTTTTTATTATAGTTTTCTACGGAAAAATATGGATAAAAATTTCTTAAATTCTGCGCTGTACATTTAAATAGATTCACGTAGAAAAATTTTTTAGTTTATTATCGCGTTTGATGAATTTTTTTAAATATATATACGATTGTGTGTATCACATGTATAAAAAAAACATTTACCGGTAAATTTTTTAACTTTTTGACGGGATTGTATGTGTGTAATAAGGAAAAGAGCAGTAGATACTATATGTGTAAGTAGATCATCGCTCTACCACGTTGTGTTATTCGTGACCGTCGATGAAGCCGCGAGGAACGTCAGAACCTTATCGAGGTTGCAACTACTTGCTACCGTGTACGTCGCTGGAGGAACAACTAATCCAATTGGCGGGTCGAAGCGCGAGTGAAGAAGCGAGACAAGTGAAAATTCTTCTCCCGAGTCCGAGAAAGAGAAAGAGTAAGGGAGAGGCAGAGGTTAACTCTCGCTGGGTTATTAAGGGTTCGCGTAATAACGTGTTTGCGAGAGCGCGCGGTTGCACGCATCGCTCACGAGGAACATGGCATGGCCTCCGGCTGCTCTCTCTCTCGCAAGGCCCAGCATCTTCCTACGAAAGCGTCGGTGTGGCCGCCCCCGACTCATGGGAACGTCCTCGGGGCAAAACACGGTCGACGGAATCGCGCGTAGCCATAGAATCGCCGTCGGCACCGGCGGAATTTTTCCTAGGAACTTATTAAAATCCGAAGTTCCTTCATTAGAATCGCGTCAAATCAAAAATGATTGCGTCGATGTAAATACGTTCAATGATTTCTTTGAAATCATTATAATGTGATTACAGAAAGGCAATCTCATATATGAAGTCATAAGTGCAACGATTGAAATATTGTTCTAAAAAAAATTGGAGTTTATTAGAAACGTTCGTTATACTCAAAATTGTGTCTTAAAATACAGGGGATACGCTGACAAATGTTTTGGTTTTAAATGGTTGCTTCAATATTCCGCTCGCTTCTTGATTCACATTCAATTTTTTTCGATATACAAAAACAAAACAATATAATAAATTTTAAGAAAAAGAAAATAATAACATAATCAGTTTTTTTTTTATTTATTCGAAGAGATGTAGAATCTTGTGGTCCGTTCTTCTCTCACGTGTGTGAACGAATTCTCGATACTCCTCTTTCTCGTTTGTGGTACCACTTTTGGCTTGCTTCTTCCACCGCTTCTTTCTCTGCGAAAGATTCCAATTTCCGAGACCATTGCGCACATTTGGCATCAGTGGCGGAAGGTCCAGGAGTTTACCAGTAGGCAATAATTTCGCGGGAATGCGGCGGCAACGCAGCTTTCGTGTCTGCGGAAAAGAATCTCGGATACCCCGCTCGA